ACAATTTAACCATCCTCATATGAACTTTTAATGTGAAATAGTCTCGTTTCCAACCTTGTTCATACTACACAAGAAAACAAGCAAGACACAAACTTTTCAGAGTACTATTTTGTTTTTTTCGTATTTATTTAACATGATGTGACAGACATAGTTCATTCATATATATAACCTGCATTTTAATATTTTTGTGTTTTTTTTCCTTCAATTTTCATAACTTAATGTACTTTGCACTTACTTGCATGCTACCTTACTTCTACATAAGCTTTTAAGCATGTTTGTTTGGAAAGTGAAATTACACCATTTAAAAATGAATTCTTAAGGCTATGTTTCATCTTCGTACGCAAAACCTTTGAATAATTGCTTGCAAATAAAAAAAATATTGCTAATATTCAAAGTTATTACAAACATGTAGTCCTCACTATTACGTATTATCTGTTCTTAAGAGCAACTGGTACATTTATAAACAATCTTGTTAAAAAAACATAGAAATTACAAAAGAATTACGACAAATCAGCACACCATACTTACATTACTTTTAATTTCATCTTTTTTCCATGCATGTTTGTCGTACTACAGTCAGATGAAGAAATCTGAAATTAGTTGTACTAAACATGTCATATATTGATGCACGCTCAGGAGCTAGGAGAGGGAAATATGCTCAAAGAAGAGGAAATATGCTCAAAGAAGAGGAAAAATATAGGAAAAATATGTGAAAAATAGTAGAGTACAAAGATAAGAATGATTTTTGACAAAGCATTATTTAGTTCATCTCTATGGCAAATACGACGTCCTAATTATGTAAAAAAGAAATAACAAAAAGGTTTCAATAACTTCATAAATATTGTCATCTTGCTACATTTGTAGTACTTTACAGAAAAATAAAAACTGTATTCTATTAATGAAACAAAAATAAAATGGATATAAAATTAAATCTTGGAAAATACTATCTTCAAATTACTTTGGATACAAGCATTTCAAAGTATAAGTTCATTTGAAAAATATTTGGTGCAAATACGATTGCCTTCTTGTTAAACACAGAGTACTAATTGATTTTTACTTCAAAATATTGGTCAATTTTTTCAATTTGATAGAAATAAAGATATTTCAAATATCCATGGTCAAAGTGATATTCAATCTGAATGCTTGCAGCAAAAATTGTATGAATCTTACAATGTCTAAAACAAACAAAGATTGGTCCTTAAAATGAAAAAAATATATCAGATGTCATTTTCATGCTGTTTAAAACTAAAGATTACGGTAGACATCCTCAATTAATTTCTATCAAACGAGTGCTAAATAATACATAAATATTTAAATAGTATATGATAAACCTATTTCTTATTACAGTGGAAAACACTTTTAAACCACAATTCCAAAGTTAAGGTTCTGGACTGTTCACAAATAGTAGTAACTACTTAACATGTGAGAAATTTGTTTGAAATATATATTCATATTTCATACAAATGTAGTTCTTTGTTAAGGATATGTATTTAGAAAAACAAACATATAGGGATGAAAAGGCAATATGCAAGGAGGCAGAAGAAGGAGGGGAAGGGGAGAGAGACAGAGTGAGAGTAAAAGTGAGAGAGTGAGAGTAATAGAGAGAGAGAGAGAGAGCACGCTTTAAATTATTTAACTATCTTACGTTTCCATCAAGTACATTTGTTTCTCTCATAAAGCACTTTCCTTAAAAAAAATGAATAATAAACATTATATACAAGCTTCATTGAAGAACATGACAAAAGAAAAATGTCCTAAAAATATTTTATCAAGACAACTTCTTGAAGCCTCATAACTAAAGTTTAGACATGTGTTTTCTACAAAATTCATAAAGTGGTTGGAAGTGATAAATACTACAGGAAGAAAGTATAACAGATATGAATACTAGTTGACGGACTCAAATTCTGGACAAATACAAGCAAAAAAAGAAAGAAAGAAAATCCTTTTCCAGCTCCTTCATTCATAGCAAATAGGCAAGACTCATGCATACATGTACATTGCAATCTCAATAATAATAATAATAAAAACTAGAAAAAAGTAATAAATGCCAGGGCCCACTATAATGTTCAAATAATCTCGTAAAAAGCTCAAACACGGCACATCTTTCTTCCATTCACAGTTCAATATCACACTTTTTCTTTTCTTTATCGTGGAAATCATGAATGACTTGACACAGTTTTCAAGTTTTTCATGAATACCCTATACATTTAAATACAATCAATTTCTTTAGATGCAATGCTTGCAAGAAGTTTAAAGGATTAATTAACATGAAATCATGAACTAAGTCATGTGTCTGAAGTCAAGTGTTCTCATTTTAATCTGCTGTAATAGGGCAAGTACACACTTTCTTGTCCCATACATGTACGCTGCATAGACAGTGCAACCAAGTGCATAGTACACCTCAAAATGGGCAAAGTCAAAAGTGAAATGCCACAAAATGCATTGCTATTGTCAATAGTGATATCTTCATTTGTTTGGAGGATGGATTGTATTTTGAAGGAATAACAATGCATTATGCAGCATTTCACTTTTGACTAAGCCTTTAGACAAGGCCTCATGTCTGATAATGCTATTTATATCTGACGCCAAGCCACTAAAAAGAGACTAATTGTGAAAACCTGAGTGAATGCCATGGGAGTGGCGTCTGACTCCACTCGATCGGGCGTTTACCCGGGTCTCTAGATCTCTCTGTGTCGCCGGCTAGACTCATCTCAGCCGCTGATTTTCATGGAAAATAGCCCGAATCAGGAGGCCTTGTCAAAAGGCCACTTTTGACTTGGCCTCATATTCAGGTGAACTGCACATTCCATGATGACATAATTGTTACAAACTGGGCATCACTGTAAACGCCAAGTATGATAGTATACTAACAAGACGGTTATTAATGCTAAAACTTGAATCACAGAGATTTTTTGAGGGTTTTAGTTTAGACCATGTTTGATCCATTATGAAGAAGCAGATGTACATGCGATAGTGTATGTAAGGCACCAAGACATGGTACATATGGTATGCATGGTATATTTGAAGTGCTTGGAAATGATTATGTCAACTGTGTACTCAAATGAAATGAGAAACAATGATTTCTATAAAGGCCTTGTTTCATAACAATTGTTATCAATAACAAGATACAATAATTGTTATAAGCTACTGAAATCTTTACATTTTAAATAATAGTCAGATTTGTACGACACGTAAAAGACGTAATACTAAGTTTCTAAGCGCATTCCTTTGAAATCATTTTTACCTTGTCATTGGATTCAATTGCTCATTTGCACATGATAGCGGACACACTTCGCTCCCTGGGGAGTAATCTGGACAGACATTATTTTACAAGCGCACACGTGCCAATGCATTTGACTGGCTATGAGCGGATCTGTAGTTACTGATAACAAATTTTGTGAAACAGGGCCTTGGCGTTTGGTGATCCCACATCGTCAATATTTTGTACAAGTGTTTTAAAATATGATGCATGTGAGTTCACACAGCGTGAGTATCTTACATCAGTGTCCACAACATAACAATACTATCGTATTAAAGCTTTCTTCTAGTTTGTACCCAAAGACTTCCATCCAAACACAACAACATATCAATATTTCCTCATCCAAACAACCCATTACATCCTAATATCTTTCTGATTCTGTCTCATTTCTAGGATATAGGCCATCCACAACCTAATCATAACAATTCTTATATGCTTTTCATTTATGTAATTACAGCTTTGTGTTGCAAAAACATGATAACAGATGTAGTACTAGTACATTCATGTATTAAATTTTATAGAAAAAATGTAATCATCATCACATCTGCATATTAAATACCTATCTAAGTTCTTCTTTCTCCATCCACCTTTGTTGTATATAAATTAGCTTTGGAATAATATGTACAGATAGTTGATTGCAGAAATACACAAAAGGACAAGAAAATCAAGTGATAGCTTACAGAGGCCAATCGTCCAAAATTCTCTACTTCATTTTCAAGGAGCTGACCACTACCACTGTAGAATATAAATCGCAGCTCATAATTCTTGGATTTCACTCAGATTCTAAGCTGATATGCACACAACACTCTCTGCATACATGTATCAGAGTTCAGACAGTTCCTTTGCTTAATTTCCAATAATCTTCCATGGCACATCCATTTTACATCAAAATGTCAGTCTCCAACTCTCCATCAGAATCATTACCATTGCTAAAGGGGTAGGCTTTCATCATCCTTTACAAAATTTCTTCACTTTGAACATTTTGAGAGAAGAATTCATCGCCTCGCTGTATACCTAGGTGTATCTCCATTGGTCTGAACAAGCTAGAGCTTGAAAGTTAAGCCTCTTCAGAAATACTATCTGTGCATGGGCAGATAAAGGTCGTTTGTACAAAAATGTAAAACCCATCAAGAAGACTGCTGGAAACATGTTCATGAAGATAATCATTCTTCATTTATGAACCGGCGGTACATTCTATGTAACACAGGCGGAAGTATCGTTTCCAAGAGGGCAAACAAAAGTTGTGCATGAAGCATCTCCATCACTTTGGCAGTGATCATTCTCAAATGCACAAAGTGCAACGTCTGCATGTGTACAAGCTGTGTGAATATTTGGGGTTGATATATAGGGCTGATTAGTGGCCTCTCAATAATAAAATGTCAACGTTTGAAGATCCAATCTCCATTAGCCAGTGTCAAATAGATGGATGCACATTCATGTACTATTTGGTCATATCAAGTTTCTACAGACATGAATAGGTTGCTAGTGCAAATGGTGACCCACAGGACTGACTGACTGAAAGTTTGCTATTGACTGATCAAACAATGGCAATACAAGATTTAAAGTTGCATTTTTAGCAATACCACAACTTTTGGTAAGTCTTTATTGTTCCTAGGTAGGATGATAATGCATGCCTCTAAATAGGATTCAACTGTAGACTTTTCATAATGAAATCCTATCAGCACACATGCCAACTATAAATTATATTTCACCAACTTCTTTCTTCCACTTTGGTCTTGAAAGGAATATTTGTTCACACATTTTCTCCCTCATTCTTATGAAGAGTTTGCATAACATGATCTATCAAACAGCAGAGGTTATACATTGCAATACCATGTAGATATGAATTGAATGGCCCAATCCTTTTCAGTTACTGCCCAAGCAGATGACATCCACGTCTTGAGTAAACCTAGTATGCTTTAATGTATGATGCATATAATAGAGCTGCAGCCTAGTCTTTATTCAACCCCTGAAAAAAAAAACGCTCCAAGATTCAGTACTTTGGTCAATCAAACAATCTCCCATCAAAACTGGTCAATTTAAACAGAACCAACAGTCAGATGCTACTTGAAGAAAACCCTAAAACCTTGATGAATGTACCTGTCTTTTTCTTTCATATCAGGCAAAGCTGTCAACATACTCTTCATTCACATGCAGTGAAGCTTTATCGAGAATACGCCTACACCCACATGTAAGTCTGGCATACTGCAACATCTAAAAATAATGATATGTGCGCATACACCATATGAAGACAAATGTACTAAACTGAGGATTATTGCAGTGTTCAAACTTACAGAGCTATCAAAATCAGTGTATCAAATGTTAAATGAATGTACATTTCAAAAAAATAATTGAAGTCCATCAATGATGCAGTTATAATTAATGTATTATCTATACATGATTATAAGAAGTTCCTTTCTTGCATTACTAGACATGACATTATTCCCATTTCCTGCTATAACCCTTTTAAAGTTTGGATATTACAGAAGCAAGGTGGTCCACAAGGGGATTAAACATGCAACAACAGCTTGACTTTTTTGGGGTACAGGTTTGAAAATTATAAACAAAATATTAGTTATAAAATGTGTTTGAAAATGTTAAAAGTATGGACCAGAGTGCATCTAAGAGTCATAGAGCTCTTTTAAAAGCAAGCACTGTAACCCAGCCACTAAGGACTTTGTGCTTCACACATATCAGTTCATACTCCTTCCAAGTCCAAATTTTACGTGTATGAATATTTGTTTGTGGACCACCCCAACGGAAGCATACGGTAAAGACCTTGTCAGAATCACATGATCATTATTTGAGTTTCAACAATTCATATTGGGCAGAACGCCAATTTGTCAAATCCTGATGGGGGCAGTGCCTACAATGCAAAAATAGAAAATGTACACTTTTCATTACATTTTGGATTTAAAAGTGTGCCTTTGCCGGTATGTACGCATTTGAGAACAGTTTGTGGTGTGACATTAGCTGTGCAAATAATAGAAACAAATCAATGTGTTTATAACAAGATATTTGGTATGTGGAGTTGCCTTACAGACAGTACTGAAAATTAATGAATACACACAAAAGGGTATGGGTAATAAAAGGTTTGTGTACAATGTACAGTTAGTGCTTGGGCAGATATGGGTATATAGGTTAAACATTCAAAATTCTTTTCAGTCATATGTCATAACTGGCCTACACAAACTTGTATAAATACTCTCCAATAGCCCCAAAATCTTCCTTTGAGAGTTCCAGTAATGCCAAACATGGCACTACACTTTGAAATGTACATGTTACAATGAAGAGATTTAGAAAAACCTTTCCCAAGACAATCAACAGTACAGAGCTACACTCTATGAGAGCAACAGAATGAGAACTGCGATAACTATTAGCTATTGATGTCATGCACTGAATAACCCAGGCTTGTGGTGAATGACCACAGATGCGTACCTCCAGAACCTTCTAAGAAAATTTATGGTAACACAGCCTCTCCTTCTGTATCAGGGCCACTGGGTCGGGAACTGCACGCATCCAAGTAGCGAGAAAATCATCTGGTCTGGCTTCAGGCCTTCTGCTTTAATAGAGTCTTAGTAGCCCGATTTCAGTATTACTCACGCATCAAAGCACTGTTAGGGGAGCAACCCTTCTCCGTCTCCATGGTTCATGTTCCATTCTATGTGAGCAAGGAGTGGATGGTCAAGCATTCAGTGGCTACAGTCAGCACTGGTCAAGCGTTCAGTCAGAGACTGCATGTGCTGGTTAAATGTTCAGTGGACAGACTGCACCGGTCAAGAAGTCTCTACAATATAGTACAACATCTACAGTACCGGGGTCTGACTCCGCCCACTGATGGAGGAGGCGTGACAGGTGCAAAGTAGGCATGGACCTTCACGTTAGGCAGCTGAGTCTGCATATGGAAGATACAGGAAGAACAAAAATTACCAACAAAGAAAACAAACTGGGTGAAATAAGTAATTTAATCAAACTACTATTAAATTACAGGTTTGAAATGGTGGAATAAATATACCAAAGTGACACATAACTTTCCCATCTTCCATTATGTCCTTGCATTGTTTAAAGGTTGTCAGCCATTAGCAACTCTTACAATGAAAAAGAGTAAATTCAGACTCGATGAAAGATTAGCCTAAAAGTCTTAAAGTAATAACCTTTGTGACATATTCGTGAGATTTTCATTGATAGATACAGAATCAAGTCAAATCATTTTACTACAATTTCACACAGGTATGTAATGAACAACAGATATATGAAGTCGCAAGCTAATCGATAACGAACTGCAAAAACTGACATTAACATGACTATGTCCATTATGGCCTGACGTGTGACAATAACATGACCACACTGTTTCAAATATGCAAGGAACTTGTGAGAAAGCAGTCGCAAGAAGTAACATTTTTTTTGGTCACAGTTAAGAGGTAGTTATGGATTATATATGTGATGGTCCAAATCACCCCCCCCCCCCTTATTTCCCCTGAAAGGCTCCATTAACGAGTATCTCAACCAGTAACCATCACTTACCCTTAGTCTCCTGATGCCAGCCCTAGTAATGAGCTGACAGTCATACAGCTCTATCCGCTGTAACCCTTGGCAACCCATCAAGTGTTCTAGTGAGGAGTCTGTGATAAGAGGACAGTTGTCCAGCTCGATGACCTGGAGGTGTTCTGTAGAGCAGCCGCTAGTACCGATGTGACGGATGCCTTCGTCTGTGATCAGCTCACAATGGGATAATGTCTGGACACGAGAATAAAAACAGCTTATCAGTCTTCTCAAGTGTTACAAATGCAAATGGTGGGTTATATGTTTCTATGATATAATATAGACACACTCTTCCAAGTTTGGTTACATTAAAAAAAAATGCACAGGTAATCCATTCTGGATGTATTATCTATATTTTCTTAAAGCTAATGTGAGAGTCATGATTGGGGAGATTGGTACAAGAGACAATACAAAATAATAAATAGTTCAATTCATGTTCTGATATTATCCATCTTATTCTCAAGTATAGAGCTATAACATCAACCCACATGTATTCGTAATAAATAGGGGTGCAGTCATTACAGGAAAAGTATTTTTTGAATGCTTTCATGTTGGTAATTTTCATTCAAAAATAGGTAAAACTAGAAATTTGAAGCACATTCTTGACACAAATATACTTTTACAATTAAGACCATACAAAAGTTTCATGCAATGTGGATTCCATTTGGAAAATAAAATGAGAAATATGCCTCTTGTTTTTCAGTCACTACATCCATTTAGCAAATGCTTGCAGAACAGCTATAACATTTTATCCAAAAAGGTTAATTTCTAACAGAAATATTTTAAGAGAATCAAGAGATATATTCAAGATATTTATATAACCATAGACCATAACAATATATGAATAATAATACAGAGTGGAATATGGAAAGGACCTGGAGAAAAAAATGATTGTGAGGATGGCCCTTAAAGAGAGAGAGAAAAAAAACCTAACAAATACCAAGTAAATACAGTCAAATTAATCAAAATTAATTTTAAAAAATACACAAAATAAAGGCATACACACCAGTCTTTTCTCTTCTTTATACACATTCTTGACTGTATAATTGTGGATATAATGTGTGTCATGGCTCCCAAATACCATATACTATATTCAAATCACCACAATGTGACGTAAAGGCCCTGGTGGACTAGAAACACCCAAAACAATGGAATTAACACTCACCAGCTTCTGTAGCATGGGGCATCCTAAAGCTAGATAACTTAATGCAGTGTCTGTAATCTATGGACAAAAACATAACATGAGAGGAAAAGAGTTAGAGCAACAAAAATAAATTATCTATCAAATAGCTCATCATGATTCAGTCGTAAAGTTTCTCAAGAAACTTATATAATACAGGTACCGATTCATTATTCCCCGATTTGCACTGCTGATGTGATGCTATTAAAGTCAATCATACATTTCTATATAGGAAAAATATTAGAGCATTCAAGCCGTATCTATTTGTTTAAGAATCTGCTTGGTATGCTTGTTTGTACTCAGAAGAAATCGTATTACGGGGGTATACAAATTCATGAGCAAGCAATGACTAGGATTTATGAAGATATCGATCCCAATCATTGCTTTTAACATTAGTTATATTTTCATGTTTATTAGTATCTATATACATGTACATGTACATCATCATTCAAAGCATCATTAAAAGCAGAAATATTACATAATACATGAAATACATTACACAATCATTGAGAAAACTTACAAGAACACATTCTTCTAGATCCATTCTTTCTAGGTCTATACATGTCTGTAGAGGAAAATGAGAAAACACATGTAACAATTTATAGCAATAACAAACACATAAAGAGCATGGCAACAATGTGAGAGAAAAATACTCTGGGTGTACCATTTTTATAATTCAACTTTCTATACTAAAATGTTAAAATTATGGAAAATTAAAAACTACTCTTAGCAAGCACGATTTGTCTTGGTCATGCTTTGAACACATGTATCTCAAATCTCAAATTTCATTTTATAATTCTAAAATTCCCACTCTTACTCTTAAATTTTGAGTATTTAAGTTACATGTATGTACTACAGATCAGACATTTCAAACATATTAGTATACTACAATACTAGACGTTACACATTCTTATATTTCTGCTCTGGAATTTTCAAATGTAAGTAGACCACCTGTGAATACTTACTTCAACAAACACGTACATGTAACTATGGATGAATATCATCAAAATTACCCTAAATTCTACAAATTTGAGATGCATATTTAATTTGTTTACCAAAATAAAATCTCTTACCACAATCAAATAGAAAGACAATATTTTGCTATAGACATTGTGACATATTATTACTCAGTTTTTACCACCCTTTCAAAGTAACTTAACTTTCAGCATTCACCAATCATTCTTCATTTCAACAATATCCCCCTTTCCATCAGAGAATTAATCTGTCTTGCCACTTTCAAAAGATCCCCCAAAACATACTTCTTCCCTCAGTAATAGAATATGATTCACCCATTATATGAGATTTATGATTCTCTTCAAAATCTGTTATTTTGTAAATGCTACGATACTTTTTATTTTTTAAAGCTCCTAAATAATTAATATTATTATTAATCATCTCTATATTTGATATCTTAACCACAAAATTAAACTCAATGCAAAATAGAATCCTAATAATTTAAAGGCATATGCAAACAGTCTAGTGTTTCCCTTCAAGGATGTCAACATTTTCTCTGCTGTTCGGTCAAACCCCAAGACTTACCCTGGCTAGGGCTTGGAAGCCGTTGTCTGTGAATTGTGAACAACCTGACACCTCTAACGTTCTGAAAGCAGGAGAGGAAACAAGTGTCAAGATACACATTTTGTTTTCATTCATTCATTCATTCATTTATTTCCAATTCTCCTAAAAAATACTTTCAACCATACATTATGCATATAAGAAAATATATAAACAATACAAAATGTATGTAATTGAATCTTACGTGCAATAACCCACCAGGCTCTTTACCCTCCCCCCTTTTTTTTATTTTCACGCTTCCAATAGTAAGACATTTCATTCAAATATTATTAATATTATATATGGATGATGGACTCTTGCAAAAGGACTATACTCCTTTTTAGTTCATCCCTTCACTTTCATTATGTTATGTTTTTTGTTTGGATGTATGATAATCATGTATGTTTATTCTGTATTTGTAAATGTGACTATTATATATATTCTGTATTTTAATGATGAGATTAAATAAATGAACTCGAACTTGAATGTACATGTACACATATTAAATCTCTGTCGGACTGGAGATACATGTACATTAACAAAAAATCATATTCAAAATCAATTTAGATTTTTTAAATTTTGTGCATTATTGATAAAATCATACATCTCCAGGTTATTTCTTAATAATTAAGAGTACTTACTTGATTTTAGGACAAAATTGACTAAATGCACTGAGTGTGTTATCTGTAAGGTGAGTGCAGCCTGATACACACAGTGATTGCAACGTTCTACAACCCTTGGCTAGAGCTATCATACCATCATCACTGATGAGCTGTAAGGGATGCATGAAGAGATCGAGAGAGGGGGAGAGAGTGAGAGAGAGAGAGTGAGAGAGAGAGAGAGAGAGAGAGAGAGAGACAGAGACAGAGGCAGTGACAGACAGACAGACAGACAGAGAGAGAGAGAGAGAGAGAGAGAGAGAGAGAGAGAGAGACAGATAGAGAGAGAGGGGAAAAAAGACAGAGGAGATAGAAAACCATTAGATAATCTACCACAACTGTTTGAGATCACATTTAAGCATTTGTTACATTGGTTCATAGAAACATTCTGTTAAAATAGCGAGCTTTAACAATACATTAACTATAAAAGTACAACACTACCATGAAAAATACTTCTTGACCATGATACGCTATTGGAATATATTTTTATGTCTTTCCATAAAACTATATAATGCCCACATAGGAACTATGAGAAAAGGGTAATTCAAACAAAAAATAAGAAGAATGAAAGCTCCAGGGTGGTTCAGGAGTTGAGCCCCCATCTAGATTTTACTCAATGTAATTCCTTTCACACCAGGGGGTTCCCCCGATAGCCCTGGGTCATATACAACATGACAAAATTTAATTAGTCTCGCCCCTCTCAATAAATAACTACCACAGCTATTCGCTTCCAATCTATTTCATAAAGTAAGAGATATTGTATACATGAAGGGACACAAACTTTTGTTAAAATTCTATAGTCAAGTCACCACTCTATTCAAATTAATTTTCTTTGTTCAAAAGAAGGAACTGAGATGTTGATAATACTCTATGGTAAAACACCCACTGGAGTTCACATAGTGAGTATTGTACAGCGGAAGATCATTTACCTACATGCAATATATGCCCTTAGTAAGGCTGAAACATCATCAAAAGAATGTCAAACCTGGTAAAATCCACAAAATCAAAAAAATGATATGAAAGACAGAATAGAGATATAACAGAACTGTAATCTGTATCAGTCAGCTTACTGTGGGATAGTCGAATAAGGATAGTGACAAGGTGGTTTTAAAATGTTATATAATACCTTGAAGGAAAGTAATCAATACTTACTACACAACCTTGGACATTAAGTGTGGTTAGATTCTTACAATGGCTGCCTATGTGTGTGATACCCTCGTCTGTTATCTGAAAAAGAGAAGAAAGATTGAAATGATTTGAAATGTTTTTAATGGTAACATTATAAGCAAAAGAAGCAATTCCACCATTCAAAATTGGTACAGGGAAAACCCCTAAATCACCAACACATGAAATTATTTAATTGTAATTATAGTCAATAAGCATGCATAACAATCAAATATAACAGCCTAGAAAGAATCTACCCCCCCCCCCCCCCCAGCTCGATCTTTGCCAAATCGGGTTTGAAATGTTTCAAAATGTAACATTACACTGTATATAAGCAAAAAAAAGCAGTTCCACCATTCAAAATTGACACAGGGAAAACCCCTAAATCTTCAACACATGAAATAATTGTAATTATAGCCAATAAGCATGCATAACAATAAATATAACAGCCTAAAAGAATCCCCCCCCCCCCAGCTCAATCTTTGCCAAATTGAATTCATGTTCAGTCTGCCTAGTATTTGTTTTTGTATGTTGTTATAAACCAGACTAATTTGTTATCAGAATACAGCAAAATTCTATAAATTGATTTGCTGGCTATTCAACTCCCTCTCTCTACTTCCCATGCTCTTGCTCTTGAAGGCAAGGGGAGAGAGAGTGAGAAAGAGGGGGAGCGAGCGAGAGGGGAAAAACAGAGAGAGGTAGAGACAGAGTGAGACAGAGAGGCAGACAGGCAGGCACACAGATGTAGACATAAAGAGGGGGAAATGGGGAGGGAGGATGGGTTTCTAAAGGAATAACATTAACATTAAAAAGTCAGGAAGACAGATTAACCCATCATCAAAATAGAAATTAAATGATATGTCATCCACTTTCCCCCAAACCATGTCTACACATTAAAATCCCTGATTGCAAAGTCTCCAATAACCCCCTCTTTCCTCTCTATTTAAAAAAAAACGGGTCAATGACTTGTCAATATTTTGTTAGACCCTGGCCAGATGCTAGCCCCAAGCCTATACAAAGAACCTTTGGGAGCTCTGATCGAATGATTATTACATTAATGCATGAGATGAGCTCTACATGTAAGTAGCTGGTCTACTAGGCTTTGACATGGTTTGCTGAAACATAGTACGGGTTACACTTGAACCTGTGTTTAGTAACCATTAACCTGTGTAAAACAACCATCCCAACATTAAGTCATTGTAAAACGTGTCATTAAATGACTGATTGGCTACATTTAACGCCTATACAAAGCCTCCAGGAGCTCTGATCGAATGTACATGTATTCTTACAGTACATCAATGTATGAGAATGGCTCTAAGTTGTTTATTAGTCTGCTACATGTTTGATTAGACATGGAACCACTTGAACCTGTGTATATAATAACCATAAACCTGTGAAAAAATTGATATAAAATGACTCATAGCTATTAAGCACAGGTACAAATGTTTTAAATCCACACCTGATTAAATGATATTCAAATCGAGGTCGATAATAAGGTCAATCAATTTGTGTTGATTTAGGATTTTACATGTACATCTATTTAAATGACATTCCAATACAGATGGCCACTAATGGCAGCTTCATTGTATAAAGGTCTATAATGTAACAAGTGAAATGCCAGAGTCATGATCATGATTAATTCAAGATATTTTTGCAGTTTGCACAATTTTACAGACTTCATCAGCATCTTTGGAAGTCATCATTAGCATTTCTAGACTTGGATGTGCAAATGTATAAAATATGAAACTTCTTACTTTTTATTCAAAAGGTAATATTTTCAACAAAGTCAGATAATGTGACTATCGGTAATAACATTTAATGCCCAATTGCATAGGAGCTTTTTTAATGTTTCTATTGAAATCAAAGAACAGTTTATACCAGAAAGCAATTATAATGTACTACATGTAAATGAACAAAATGACAATTTTTCTTGTCTTCATATCATACGGTGTGTATAGTTCGGTAGGCCTATATTGAAGTTGCAATCACATTTTAAAATCAACACAAACTACATGGATTTGATTATAATATTCTGAAATGTATGCATATGTTACAAATTTTAAAAGTGACTCTTCTGGAAAGAAAATATGATTAACATTTACTTTACTACAGATGTACTTGTACTACAAATGTATTTCTTAAAGGTCACTCCAATCTAAATACTGTGCTATAATGCATATCTGCCCACTCACACACAACAGTGTTTATAAAGATCAAAATACTCTGGGGAATCAAATGATAGATACAAGACCTCAACAAAGGAAGCATCTTCACAAACAGCATACCCGGTATATAATCTAAAATGCTAGTAATGATGAAGAATATATTCCCACAGAATGAAATAAATTAACACTGGATGTCCCCACTGGATGAAAACAACTAACTTGCGACTGGCACAGGCATTGCAAGCTTATTTTAGGGGTGAAATTCGAGACCCTACTTATAACATTAGTGAAAATCATGGCTTAAATTCCACCTCCACTTGGAAACACAATTAATTTGTTTATGTTTCTGTTCAAGATTTATTTCTCAGGCCATTAATGGGTCACATGTGAATGCGGCTGAAGGGTAGACTAAGTAACTCACCGAATGACAACCCTTGAGGATAAGGACCTTGATGTGAGAACAACCTCTGACCAGGGCTTCGATGCCATTGTCGCTAATTTGGTCACACCACGAGATATTGAGATGACTTAGAAGATGGCAGCCATCACTGTGTGGTTAAGCAAGACAAAAAAATGATTAATCATTAACGTCTAAATAGATGGCACAGCAGTTCAAACAGAAATTCTGAAATCATAAGGACAATTTGGTGATGTCATCTACTATTATATGAATTGAGAGTATGAAAGACAAGCGGGGTGATAACATAAACTGATGATAACGCAAAGAGCACTCGTTCGTTCGTGTCTCCTTAGATCAAGATTAATGTAATCTTGATCTTCGGAGTAGTTGCTACAACCGGTCGTGTCAGACACGTTGCCCGGGGTGCGAGATAGGACTCTTGTAGCGTGCCCCCATTTAAAACAAAGAGCACTATGGCGAATTGAATGAGTACATATTACAAATTTTATTAATATTTATTAAAAGAATAAAAGTAAATAAACATGTCTAGGGTAATTCTGTGTGCGTTGTTCCATATGAAACCATTCTTCATCAATTAAGTTTATTCTAAAAATACAAATTTCTTGATACAAGTATACAACCATTTTCTGATGGTTCTGCATGTCATTAATTAAAGGTAAAAAATGTTGTCTAGATGTACCGTATAACATATACTGAATTGTCCTACAGTGTATATACATTTGTAGTTTGTTTTCAAAATATTTATTCCAAAAATTATTTAGCTTTAATGTGCTAAGGGAAGACCTTGCATCATGAACCTAATCCCTCCTTTTATAAGGGAGAAAGAAGCTGTTTGTTTTAATTTCACTACTGGCATACAATTTGGATCTACCAGCATATCTTCGTTTTTCATTTTCAACCCTGATTTTATTGCATGTTCATATAACCTTACATCCTGAAATAGATCATTTAAGTAAACAAATGTCTGTATGGTGTCTATCAAAATACCAAGGTCCCCCCCCCCCCCCGATAGCGTGATAAAAATAGCAAAACACATAAACTCTAAATGAGTCATTAGGATTGCCAAAACTTATCTTAAATTAGTATCCAAATTTGAGGTCTTACATGTAAGTGTTAGGATTTCATTGTCAAGTTGTTGCTTTCAAATATCTTTTATGGGATCAGTGATCAGTGGTCACCATAAAATACCAATTTCTGATTCAGGACAAAATAAAAAGCAATATCTCATACAGACACATGGTAAAACATTAAGTTAATCTTGGGCAGGAATTGTTGCTGACAGCTTAAAAGGATTTTTTGGGTACCTATTTATATTTTAACTCAGAGACAAGGAACTACAGTATATTGTATCTTAAATTTTGGGGAAAATGAAATGAAATAAATGAATGATTGAATGAATCAAATGAAAGCTCAAATATATTGATGCTAGAGAGCTGGTAACATCAGTAGATGGTATTCCTTTCAACATTTCTTTGTTCTTACATTACCATGTCGATATAATTGTCTAATACCTGGATTTATTATAATACTCACACATTTTTTTCTCTTAATTTTTCTACATGAATTTTGAACATCTTTCTTCCAATAATACATGTAATTAGCATGAAATGCATCATGTCAATTAACTGAAAAGCCCCTTGATTATATTAGTGATACCATACATTATTTAATTTTTATTATAAAACTCTTAAGAAGTTGATTTATTGACCTTGTGGCAGACCAGCAGAGTAACTAAACAAGTTATACAATCCATATAATAATACGCTAAGGCGTCGAGGGGGGTATCCGGGGTCCATTTTACGGCGCCCAAATCTTCCCTCCCACCCGCCCTCGGGCGCCGCCGGGCGGTCCCGCGGACGGACGGGGTTTCAATCTACGGAATTGGCCACGTCCCGGCCCGGTGCGACGTCCCGGTCGTCGTCGACGTCGTCGATGCGTCCGCACGTCCCACTTATGCGTCGCGAATTTCATGCTTAGGCATGAAACGGAAGTGGACGAGCGGTCTGAGGCGCCGGTTGCGTTCGATTCGCCGGCAGCTCTTGCACTTTTTGCACGCACGGGTTCGATCCCGCCTCCGTCTCAAGTGTTTTTTTTTTCTTCCCCGTGTTTGTTTTGTATATTTTAGATGTTGTAATCTTTACCATTTTTTTTAATTTTAATTAAAATGTAGACCTCATATTTGAAATTTAAACGAGTCGAGTTTTTATTTGATATTTATTAGCTTATTTCATGATATCTAGGCCTAAAATCGGCGCAACAGATGTCTTCCCATATCCACGTCCAAACTTAGAGACCTATTTCCATCATTATTGCCGGGATTTTTATATAGTTTTCGTGAGTGGAGGTATGAAATCAAAGCTTATTTTGTGATTATTCTGGCCATGTTTACTCAGTTTTGATTATCATTTATTAAAGGAAGGTTTTCACAAGAAAATCAGAGAAAAACATCGTTCAGTTTCAAGAGCTCTGCCGTACGCATACAGTGTGTAGTGCAGTGCAGCTGCGCTGGCTGCTCGACTGAGCTGAGTGAGTGAGTGAGCTAGCTATTCAGAGTCGAAGAGACTATGAAGGGCCAAACATGCCAATATTCGACAACTATACGCTATATTATGTATCCATCCATGCGACTATTTATGTCTATCCATTCATTGAAGTAGGCCTACACGTGAACACAACAGCGGGCAGGCCGAAGTGCCATAAGATCGTTGGGGGGGGGGGGGGAGGGGCAAAATATTTTTTTTTGCATCTTACATGTTACAAAAAAAATCTGCATCTTACATGTTACATGCAGACCCCACAAAACATTTTTCGAAGTGTGGGGGGGGGGGGGGTCAGGTAGATCGAAGCGAGTTGAGTGTAGGCGTGGGGTCCACGGGTTTCAAGGGGCCATAAACCCCCGAAAGCTCGGGGGTATAGGCGTTTAATTAGGGTCAGATGAGCATATTTTTAATACTTTATTTGGCGTGGGGTCAATACGTAGAGTTGCGTAGTGTTGCGTACCAACTACGCTGGCCTACGTTACTATATGCTGAGGGACGGAAAGGGGTACGCAAGATGAACGAAAACAATTCAACATGTTTAATTTTTTTCGCGTACTTTCGGCGTAGAAACTTGACGCAGAAAGTACGCCTTTTTACGCAACACTACGCTACATGACTTCGCAACAGTACGCTACCCTACGCCAGATTGACAAAGCAGTAAAAGCTTTCCACACAGTAAGCAACCATAAGCAAACCTGTACGCCATGCAGCCTACGCATAACCTACGCAGGGACTATTTTCCCATTAATACGCAGCCTAATTTCTGCGTAGTCGGTACGCCACACTACGGAACTCTACGCAGTTCCAGTGGCTTAAAGAATAACTACCGGTATAGTTGGATCGTTTTTGTTTTTTTATATAAGGCCAAATTAAAAAAAAAACATGTTTAGCGTCCTGTTTTTTCGAAAAATGGGAAGGAGGCCCTTTTTTTCTTCTTTTTTTCTTTCAAAATGGCCGCTCCGTACATTTTTCCTGACATTCAGGCTATTTTTCAAGATGGCGGCCGACAATTTTTTTTTTTCTTTTTTAAAATCAGAAATACATTTTAGCAGTGCTTTTCATGTTTTGTTTTTTTCAAAAAAATAAAAAATAAATAAATAAATAAATAAATTTAAAAAAAATAGGAGGCGGCCCCCAAAAAGGAAGCAGGCGGGAACGCTGTTTTTTTTCTTTCAAAAATAAAAAAAATAAAAAAATAAAATATTTAAAAAAAAAGCGGGCGGGGACGCTAAACATGTATATTTTTTTAATGGCCTGAATGGCAAATAAAGTTCTTGGTGGTTTTAATTTAGACAGTCTCTATATATCTATTTACACCCCCCGCCCCCCTCTAGAATCCCGCGGATTTCCGCGGGTCCTGCTAGTCTATATAAGTAATACGCTAAGGCTCCGCGGGGGGCGCGACGTCTCCGCGAGCCTTTGTATTCTATTGTTTTTTAATGAGATCGCCGACCGAAGTTGGTGCAGCTATCTCCTCCTGAACCCTCCCCTCGGGGTCCCGGTGCCCGGTGCCATCGTCCGCGGGAGAGTCTACTCTGTGGAATTGGCTATACTCCGCCCGAGGTCCTCCACCGTGTCGACGTCCTGGGCCAAAACAGACGCGACATGCATAATGCAGGATATGCGTTACGACAGAGATACCTCATGCATATTTAACATTACATCCGTATCAAAGAGACACACGACAGACGACGAGCAATCCCGTCGTCGTCCAAACTTAGAGACCTATTTCCATCATGATTGCCGCGATTTTGATATAGTTTTTGTGAATGGAGGTATGAAATCAAAGCTTATTTTGTGATTATTACGGACATGTATACTAAATTTTGATCATCATTTTCTAAAGGAAAGTTATTACAAGAAAACCATTGGACTGACAGTTGAGTCGCAAGCTGCCTTCAGTCAACACACAGTGCAATGCTGCTGTGCAGTGTGTGTGAGTTGACGTGAGCTTGCAGGAAGCTTCAACACCAGCACCGCGCACCGCAGGCGTCCGACGCCTGCGGCGCCGGTGTTCGAGCTTCCTGGAGTTACGCTGTAGTGTGTGTGAGTTCAGCTGAGCTGATTTGACACTTTGAAATTGTTATCTGTTGGTTTGCATCATTATTGCCGCGATTTCAATATAGTTTTGTGAATAGATTTACGAAACCTGAGCTTAGAAATAGTAAAAGTATTACTAATGTCTACGTTTTTAAACGACTGTCTGATTTTCTTGTGAAAATTTTACTTTGAAACATGATTATCGAAATTCATGGTCGGAAATAATCACAATCTAGGGTCTATTATGTTACAGTTCTTGCATCAAATCAATTTTAAATAGGCAATTATGAAGTAGGAAGCCTGAAACCTTATAGCCTACTAAACAAATCTCAACAAAGTGTAGGCCTATCCTTTTATGAATTAATGAAAAAGTAGCCCCAGAAAAAAGAACCCCCGAAAGTTGAAAAAGTAGCCCCCGAAAATTTCCCAAAAATTTGAAATGGAGCCCCCGAAATGAAAAACTTAATATTTTGCCTGCGCCCCCCTCTAGAATCCTGCGGATTTCCGCGGGTCCTGAGTTGAGTGTATATATAATATAGGCGTGGGGTCCACGGGTTTCAAGGGGCCAGCATAAACCCCCAAAAGCTTGGGGTTACGTTCTTCAAAGTTGGGGGGGGGGGGGGGAGATCAGATCGCAGCGAGTTGCGTGTATATATAATATAGGCGTGGGGTCCACGGGTTTCAAGGGGCCAGCATAAACCCCCAAAAGCTCGGGGGTTACGTTCTTCAAAGTTAGGGGGGGGGGGAGAGATCAGATCGCAGCGAGTTGAGTGTATATATAATATAGGCGTGGGGTCCATGGGTTTCAAGGGGCCATACACCCCCGAAAGCTCGGGGGTTTTAGGCGTTTAATTAGGGTCAGATGAGCATATTTTTCACACTTTATTTGTGACACTTGCGGGTCACTAATTGGCGTGGGATCAATACGTAGAGTTGCGTAGTGTTGCGTACCAACTATACGCTGGCCTACGTTACTATATGCTGAGGGACGGAAAGGGGTACGCAAGATGAACGAAAACAATTCAACATGTTTAATTTTGTTTGCGTACTTTCGGCGTAGAAACTTGACGCAGAAAGTACGCCTTTTTACGCAACACTACGCTACATGACTACGCAGCAGTACGCTACCCTACGCCAGATCGACAAAGCAGTAAAAGCTTTCCACACAGTAAGCAACCATAAGCAAACCTGTACGCCAGCCTACGCATAACCTACGCAGGGACTATTTTCCCATTAATACGCAGCCTAATTTCTGCGTATTCGGTACGCCACACTACGGAACTTAAAGCTTAAAGAATAACTACCGGTACAGTTGGATCGTTTTTTAAATTTTTATATAAGGCCAAATTAAAAAAAAAACATGTTTAGCATCCTTTTTTTTTCGAAAAATGGGAAGGAGGAGGCCCTTTTTTTTTTTTTTTCCCATGACATTCGGACAATTTTTTTTTTTCATGTTTTTTTTCTTTCAAAAAATCAAAAAAATTCAACAAAAAAAAAAGAAATAAAAAAAAATTCACAAAAAAAAAAAAAAATATAGGAGGCCCCCAAAAAGGAAGCGGACAGGACGCTGTTTTGTTTTCTTTCAAAAAAAAAAAAATCAAAAAAATTTCAAAAAATAAATAAATAGGAGGCGGCCCCCAAAAAGGAAGCGGGCGGGGACGCTAAACATGTATATTTTTTTAAATGGCCTGAATGGCAAATAAAGTTCTTGGTGGTTTTAATTTAAACACTCTCTATATATCTATTTACACCCCCCGCCCCCCTCTAAAATCCCGCGGATTTCCGCGGGTCCTGCTAGTACATTCTACTAATACTATATTACATCTTCATGTACTACTTGTATATTTATATAAATAAAAATCACATGAAAACATGTCTCCCTAATTAACTACTATAATATCTGAAAGATTCAAACTTTCAGATTGATTTTCAACTGCATGATTGAGGGCAAAAAACAATTATATTTCAACCAGCATTTGATATAATCTAAAATGATTTTTTTTTTGGTGACATGATGCCTTCCACTGTAGTGGTGACAAAACTTGTTTAATATATTTGAAAACCACTGTCTATGTACATGTATGTGCATGTATAAGAGAAGGACAAAAAAGTACCAGTTCAGCAATAGCTCTGAAGAATATATTGCAGCACTTTTCATATTTTTTTAATGATTCTGGTAATCAAATGACCAGTGCATGGCATGTCAATTACATGGCAATATTATCACATAATGTAAAGTACATATCATCTCTTTGGGGCCAAAAAAGTATTAACTCATATATACTTTAACACAGAGTTAATGCCCTTCTTGATCTAAGCAGACGTTGTGATTTAATAATAAACAAACCATGACTGTCACCCCACATAAACTATTGTTTGTTGAGTATCTGAAGGGCATTAGCTCCGTGAAAAAAAATCAGATTAATTAACGCCCTTCTGGCTCTCAACAGATACCCTCAGAAAATGCACACTCTTCTAAATTAGATTGTAACTGTAAGTGGTTACCCTGCTTTTATTGAACCCCTGAAAGTAATAAAAAAAAAGGACTTGTGCCCTTTTGGAGGTCACTAGCAGGTCACCAGTGCATTCACGTTATCCTAAACTCATTTTAGCCCACTACAACTAAGTGATTTTGACCTTGATAAAGCAAGAACCACTCTCACAAAATAAGTCTCGGCTCGCTGACTCCCCAGATGGGGTACACAACTAAAATGCTAGACACATTTATAAATCATGTATACATTTATCAGAGATGTCTAGCTCGCTGAACGCATGTCCAACTTTCCCCTTTTCGTGATCTGCGACACCCTTGAGTACCCCTGCTTGTAATCAGTTACACACTTTTTGGCTCTTATCCAATAACTCAGTAATGGCATTTTGATGCCCCCGCACCCCGTCTGCATCCCTAGGCGTCGCGGTTCGTACCTCGTATGTTCGATATTGAAATGTGATTCGAAAATCCATTTGGGAAATTGTGGAACAGTTAAAGGAAAAATCTGCACCTGATATCCATATTCAATTTTTTTATTTTTTTAAATAATACTTTTTAATGAGCTTTCCAAATGTTTCAATCTAGATCTCATTTTTTCCCCTTTCATGGATAGTTTCCTTGGATAATAACACAATAATAATAATAATAATAATAATAATAATAATAAAGTCATTCATATAGTGCTCTTACACATACATGTACTAAACAGTTTCACAGCGCTTCACAGAGTTCAAACAAATTAACAAACAAGTAGCAAAAGTACAAGATAATTATTAAATAAGGATACTACAAGTGTATCTGTAATTCAACCAGAGATATTCATACATGTACATATGTTCTATTTATTTGTAAAAACTACCTTTAATACCCCCAAACTTCAGTGGAAATGCTCCAAATAGGCAATACACACAAAGAAGTATGAATATTTCATGAACAGGAATTTTATCTGTGTCAAACCCATAAAGTCCAATTATCATTTGTCAGATCTCCTACCTCGATGCTTCAACTCTATGCAATAAGGAGCATCCTGATCTTATATCTGTTTCGATTAAGAAACCTGTCTCCACACTTCATTGCAGTAATAACCATCTAATTAAGGTAAGTTATGACTTTTCTCTGTGGAGCTTTGACAAATATTTATATAAATTATATATTGGCCAAGAGGGCCATAGTTAGAAAATAAATTTGCATTTGTGACAGAAGAAATATATAATCAACCCTAAAACCTAAAAAAATAAATGTTGAATACTTTGATGCTCTCTCTCTCTCTACCAAAATGGGGCAGATTTGGCTCCTAACTACACTCCCCCTACTCCAAGCCATGAAGAGACAAAAAGTATTTTGAAATTTGCATTTAGATTGAGCAATATAATAATTGATAAAGTTTGATATCCTAAAAAGTTTTGGAAATATCCTTAATATTAACATAAATTGAGGCAAGTCACATGCAGAGCTGCCAACCTTGTGCGACCAAAAAAAGGAATCATGATGGCAAAAAAAAGGAATTTCAAGCAAAAAAAAGGAATTCATAAAAACGAAACTAACAACCATGCGCGACACACTTCCAATGCAGAAATGGTCATTCCTTATGCTGTTTTTTTCCATACAAGCAGGTTTTTTTGTTTTGGTTATTTTGGTATTATCGGCATTTCATTCTTTTTGAGAATATTTTTCTCTTCAAGTATGTTTTAAAATTAGTTTTATATTGAATTTGTGATCAAATCAGGGCAGTTGTTTGACGTGTGGTATGTAAAAAAAAAAGAAAAAAAAGAAAAAAAAGAAGAAAAAATTAATAAAAAAACGTATTTTATGAAGAAAAAACGTAATACCGTAATTTGGAGGAAAAAACGGAGTAATTCCGGCAACAACGGAATGGTTGGCAGCTCTGCACATGTATTTGGTTATTTGATGTCCTATACGTTTGAGTATTATGTAGTTGAATAAATGTGTCATTTCACTTCATATGCATTCTTATTCAAGCTGTCAGAAGTGTTCTGTTATTTCATATGATATAATACAGGCAAATCACACATTAAATTCAAGCATGTGAACTTTCTGTACAAATGACCAAGAGGGTAGGTCTAAGCAGAACTCTCAATCTCCTCATCCTTACAATGTAACGTGTGATACATGATACATAAAAGGGAATTAACGTACCTGAGAGACTTGAGCGCATTGTCTGTGATTGCTGTGCAGGATACCATATTCAACTGGCTAAGCTTCTTGCTATATCTGCTAAGACTCTGCGCTGTATGATCTGTAATTCGTTTACAGTCTTCTAAGTTCAGTACTTCTATATTTCTGCAGTTGTCTGCAAATGTGCTGCAAGAACAAGGAGATTTTTAAAAATTAATAGTGAACGAGAAAACGCAATTTTTACTCCTGTACCCAGTTTTTAATTACCTACAAATTTACATGCAATATCTATGATTTTCATGTATTTCAAACATTGTGTAGGCATCTATTGTGGAAACATTTTTTTTTAAAGTTCATGAATACATCTACTTGTCAATTGTCTTTTGTAGACAAATACAGTACATCCCATCTTCATGAAAACATCTACACAAAAACTTATTGTCAAGCATATGAAATGTGTAAATTGATTATTTCAGGGAAGCATTAATGTTCATTTTCAGTAGAAAATAACTAGAATTCTATATGCTAACATAATTCATATCAACATAGAGTTCAGGAGTAATTTGATTGATATGCTATACAGTTCTATTCTCATCGTCCTTGTAATTGTGCTTTTCACCAATTCATTTCTCACAGTTTTATCAACATGTATTTTTCAAAGTAGTGCTTTTGATTACTGAAGTGACAGAATGAAAAAACAAGGCTTGTTCTAATCACCCTACATAGCCTTTATTTGAACTAGTCTGCTGAACTCAGAAGAACAAAACTCTTTCACAGTAACGGTGTATCGAAGAGGAAGTACATGAACAGGTGTATGCACTACCAATCAAACATTAAGACAGTAAGTATAAATTACATAAAATGAAGAAAAAAATAGATAATAAATGATATAAGGAAATCCTGTTGACATGGGGAAGGTATCAAGAATTTAACATTGAAAATAAAAAAAGAGGACAATTACAAACAAGGTATAATAAAAGCAGGAAGCTGGATATGGATACTAGAGCATGAAATGATAAACCAAACCAGGTAACAGCGGAAATGAAGGAGGAAGGAAAGCAGGTCATGGTCAGAACGTAAGAAGAGGACATGCAGGAAAAAGACAATTGGGGGAAAATCAAGAATATATAGTATCAATTTTAAAAAATGTGTTAACCCTGTGTCAAAAACATGTGTCAAAATATGGATTCTTCATCCGAATGTCAACGAGAGGCAAATAAGTTTTTAACTTTAAATGGCTACTTTCAAGGTATAACCCATAAAAGTTCGGTGTCTCCTTTTCAGTTACCTTTTTTCATCATCTTTTGATCCAAATTACAAAATGCTATTGAGCAGAAAGAGAAAAAATCAAAGAAAATCTCCATTGCAGTACTTTGAGCCATTATTGAATAAGAGTGATTTAATTGTAAGTAATAATTATAGTCTTCAAGAATAATTGAAGTCTCAAATTGGCAATGTGGTTTTTAACTATAAAATCACCATTTTTGTGTACAGATTCGCAGTATTTGGCTAAATTTTGCAAAATTTTGTCATTTTGGTTTATTTAATGAAACATTTTTTTCCTCTTTAGAGAATGAAGGAGTGGAAAATGAGATTAATTGTTGCCAATTCGAGGAGGGGAAACTGATTAATTTAGAAAATAAGAAAAATCCTGAACTGCAACATGAGTTAAAATAGAGGAATACAGTATGAGGTTAATTGCATGACTTACTTCAAGGCATCGTCAGTGACACTCTTGCATCCGTGTAAACTAAGGTTCTTGAGAAAGCCTCCACATCGTTTTGATATGTGCTCCACAACTGGCCCCTGGGAAAATGAAAAATACATCCATATTAAAGAGACTTGTAGCAAGGCTGAGCACATGATACCGCAAGCTATCAAGAACATTAGTACTTTCCATTGACTAAGTTTGATAAGTTTGTATTTCATCTCAACTATAAAACAAGCATGTGCATTATTGTTCCTCATGTTATGATGGATACTACACTATAAATAATAAATGGGACACTGCATATATTTAAAGTAAAGAAATAGTCAATACTGCAACCCTAGAGAACATAGAGGTATATTTAGAATGAGATGTCATTGGTGATTGATCATCATGCAGGTGGAGACTATAAGTAGCCAAATCCCTTATCAATACAGAATGACTATAGTGTACATCGACAAGAATTTCAATATAAACCTGTTTGTGAGGCCAGAGCAACAGCCTAGAGCATTTCAACTTTTCCATCCCAAAGTTCCCCCCTATTTTTAACCTCTTTTGGGGCAAATCATTTTCTTAAATGAAATGTTCTCATACTAAAAATGTCTCACTCAATCAATTAAGTGTGAATTCAGTTTTTAAGAAACTCAACATCATTTTGTTTATAAGAGAGTTAACTGGAGTTCTCTATAAAGCTGGATTGTGATTTGCAATCGATTTCTGAAATTGAACACATCATATCATATGTTGGGAGCCAGAAGGGCATTAACTCTTTACAATATATGTGTTAAGGTCCTTTTGGATCTAAACAGATAATAGCGTAACTTAAAAAGGACAGGACAAAATTAGGGTAAGAAATTACCTCTATATCTGTCTGGAAGTTAAATAAATCCACTTTCTGCCAGTTGCTGCCATCTAGAGCAAGAATATTCCAGGACTGGAAAAAACAAAAGAAAACATGATTGATGTGGTTAGAAAAAAAAGAAGAAACTTAATAGTTCTTATATGTAAATAAAAGTTCTCTACTTCCTCTCACAGTGATGCTACCCCCCCCCCCCACACACACACACACACACTTTTGAGAACATTTAGATGCTCTTGCATGCATGCATTCTATTTTCTATGGAAATTTAGTTTCTAAAATGATTATGGTATCTGATTAATATTTGAGATAAAAATGACACAATATACAAAAATACATTCCTGGATTTTCAACACGTTTGCACACACCTGTTCCATACTTCTTCAAAGCTGCACTTGAGTAACTTAATATAGTACTCAAGCTCCTCTTTTCATTAAATAATGAGGAGAGAGAGAGAGGCCATCTATAAATGTTAGAAATCCATGAAGCACTAACTTGAGTAACATTACACTACATGTATATAAGGTGATCATGTGAAGAGACCACACTAAAAACGTGATGGAAACTCCCAAATTAAAACGGTTGAACTACAGTAGAGGTATGTTCACATATGGCAATGTAAATGGCAAAGATTATTTTCCTTCAAATGTAAATGAATGGCTCCCAGGGATAAGGAACAAAATCTGTTTGCAGCAAATTGCTCTCATTTATAGATGTGTTATAATATACTGATATGTGAAGCACAATATTCCTATGTCATTTTATCTTGTCCCAGGGTTTATTGTGACATAATGGAACAAGGCTTTTAGCATCTCAGAAGGAAAGCTCAAGTCTAAATCCAAAATCAATTAGAGGTAACTGCTACATGACCAACTGAAATTGAAGGTCTTTAAGAATTCCTTTATAAATCTTACATGGCTGACTAAGACCCCGTTCTCACTCACTTTGAAAGTGGTCTTAGTTAGACCGCTCCAGACCGCTCCAGAGGAACGGGTCTTGAGGAACGGTTTGCGAGCGTTCACACTCCGAGCAGTTTTTATGGCTCAAACCGCTCCACGAGTCAAAGTGGTCTTGTTGCTATGGCAGCTCAGGTAGGCAGGTCAATTTTTTCGCGCGCGGAATACAAACCGTATGTACCGTACTGCATGTTTCGCACCGAAGGTCACTAGCTCACTTCCGTTCAAAGTACGCTTTCCGTTCACATTGCACGTTAGAGCGCTCTGGAGCGCTCTTAATAAGACCCGCTCCTCAAGACCACCTCGGAAGGTGGACTTCTGGAGCGGTCCAGAAGTCCGCTTCCTGGACCACTTTGAGCGTTCTCACTCACCTAAGAACCGCTCCTGAGGAGCGGGTCTTAGTTAGAGCGCTCCAGAGCGCTCCAACGAAGTGAGTGAGAACGGGGTCTAAGAAAATCAAACCATTTTTCTCCAGGACAAATCAATCCTAAAGTAGCTTCTCTCTAGCTGATCAAAGATGTGCAGGTGCAAGTATATCATATACTACACATGTGAGTCAATCTGTATAATGCATACCCCATTCCCAGGCATTATCAATCATGTACAATGTAGCCGTGATAAAAGGTACAAACTAAGAAGAAAAAAGCATCACAAATACCACTATACTATTCAAGTATCCAGAATGACAGGTCGATGCTCAATATTTTGAAAAGGAGGGGGCTAAAAGCACAAAGAGGAGGGGTTAGAAGTCAGATGGCAATTATTGAAAAGGAGATAAGTGTGGAGATCGAAGCTATGGAAGGTGAAGGAACATTGCTAGCAGGCTGTTACAGCTACTACATGTACATGTATTACTAAAATACGAGTGAAGATACACTAAGCAAGAAAATGAAAAAGAGTATTAGAGATGGAGGAAGGGTATCAGAGGAAGGGAATAAAAGTAGAAGAGGGTAGGAGTGGAAGAAAAGGGAGAAAACGAGGGCAGGGGGAAAAGGGGAGACAGAGAAGGAGGGAGGGGAAAGGGAAGTAAGAGGAGCCAGAGATGCAAAAGAAGGAAAAGAGAGAGAAGTACATGTAGGGAGCAAGATGGGAGGGGAGAAATGGGAGAGAGGAGAGAAGAGAGAGTGAATGAGAGAGGGAAGGGGGAGAAGGAAGGAGCATGGGGGTAGAGGTGGAAGAGAGAGAAAGGGATGGGAGAAAAGATAAGGGAGAGATGATAAAATGATAAAGAAGAGATAATGAATAAGAGAGGAGGAAGGAGGAGGGGAAGGAGGAAAAGAAAGAATAATAGAAGAGACATTGCATTAACTGTCTATGCTGTGGCTATAAAAGTATCGTTCGTGGTAACAATTATCAGCTACTCTCATATATCATTCATCTCTTATAATTAATACAATTTCCATGATCATCATGCAACAAAACCTTACACACAAACACACTCATATCCCTACCCCTGGCCCCATTACCAGCATCATCTAGACTTACCCATAAAATCTTTCTCTCTCCTGCTAGGTTTTTATCATTTGTCACGGATGAAGCTTCTATTTTATCTCTTGAAACATAACTTATGGAAGCCATACTAAATGCTTTTTGTGAGGCTGTCATATATGGAGGATATTAAATCTTTTGATCCATACTTCTGGTGTATTCTGCATACATTATAAAGCTCATATATTGATCTAACACGAAGATGCTCAATTCTAGTGGAGTAGACAAGCGTGCTGTCTTGTCTTTCCGCGAGCCATTGCGTTATTTCAAGTTAAGTGTGGTTCTTATTGTATATTGTATATAACATCTTGTATGACTTATACAAATAAAAACGAAGAAGGGCGAAAAAGAAGACGAAGAAGAAGACAAAGGAGAAGAAGACAAAGGAGAAGAAGACAAAGAAGAAGAATAAACAAAGATTTACATTTAGAAAAGTCTATTTTCTAACAATGCCTGATCATGAGAAAAAAGGGGGAAATTTATGCATGATGGCTATATATATATTTATCAATGACAAATGAGGTATCCATACAGGTTTTGTCCTCTTTCGTGTGGCTGAATGTTCACAAACCTACCTTTGATACTTGTGCACATCTACACAGGCTGACTACATCAAGATACGAAAATACCCTGCAAAACAAAAAGAGAAACAAAATAGCAAAATCATGGGGGATTCACCAAGAAACACAGTGATAAGGATGTTCAACATATTATGTATGTAATCATTGTAAATGACTAGGATACATCTATGTGAACCCGAGTTAGATTCCTATATCACCCCCAAACAGGAAATGTAATTACTTTAATACTGGAACTTTTTTTAATCAAGAAGATGTACCTCATAATATACACAGTGTAATATATCAACAGTACACATCTGTTGTTTGACTTTTTTGGTAAGATACTGTAGATACATAGTTATATCTTTCTCCAAGAATATGATAATTTTCCTACCTAAGTATATCTTCCTTAGGTAACCTTTGGTTAATCATAGCCTCCTCTTCCGTCCGAATCTGAATAAGAACAATGAAACACAGAAAGAATGTTTATGGTTATATTCATGTACATATGTACTTGTAGATTGTGAATATTCTGATTTATCTGTACTATGACCTTATTACAAATTGCATTTTCCTGAACTCATGCTACAATATTCAACCAAGATTTAACCACATCGATGCACTTCCACTGGCCTTCTAAGAAAAAAAGGAAAACATGACTTTTTACTTTTTCATCATATTTCTTTTACACCTACTACTGTACATGTCGGTGTACATGTACATTCATGAACTCAGAAAGATGTGACATTCAATGAACATGTTCACAGCAATAAGGAGAAACCAGTACAAGACAACAAAATAAAAATCATTGTGTTACAAACTACAATGCATGAACATAAACCAAACAAAAGACTATAAATATAACAACCAGAGTCATACTATTCTTTTAATAGAATCATGAGCGTTACATGTACACTGTACATGTATCCTTGGCACACATTCAGGATTGGCATCTATTGTTGCAGCAATGTAAATTTATCTACCTGAGGAACCTAGGTCTAGGATACATTGTACTACTAGTAAACAGGAAAAACAATCATTCTGGTATAATGCTGATCTCTACCTTTTTTTTCATTATATTCGAAATTAAAAATAAAATACTATCGAGGATTGACAGTGGTGGAAATGATAATAATATCATTACATATACTAATGCTACAACTATTACTACTACAACTACTAATCATCATAATAACAATATTTTGATGAGGATTACATCATTACATTGATGAGGATAATAATAAAAATACTAAAATAATTAATAAAAAATAGAAAGTAATAATAATAATGATATTTATAATAACAATAACAATATAATGAAATTGATAAAGTAATAATAATTTATAATAAATTTTGATAAGAAATACCATAGATTTGTATAATAATTATAATAATAATAATATTAATATTAATAATAATCATCATCATTATCATGAGGATGATAAAATTAAAGGGAAAAGAAAGGCCTACATCATTCATATGAATCTAAACTGTACATTGAATATTTTACGCCTACATCCATGTACAGCAAAACTAGTACTTCTTTGTTGGATTTGATCAACAAAGTAACTTCACAAAGGCCTTCCATAAATAATTGCTTAGGAACAGCTGAGTTGGCATACCAGAGTGGGTGCAGATTACAACTATACCGTGTATTTATGCAACCTGGCCCTAGAGGGGTCCTCGACTGGTTAGAGGCCGCTATAGGTATGCTCAACACGTATGGCCTCAAATGAACTTTCTAGTAACCTGGCATGAACCTAAGCATTTACTTTGTGCAACCTAAGCCTTCCACACCTATGTTTCCATGTTTGCATTCATTCACAATTTCACATAAATGTGTAATTCATGTTTGCGTACATGCAGAGATACAGCTTCCATAAAGCAACAACGCAAAAAAGAGCCTGCACATTCCTAATGTCTTACATTGTACATGTACCTGCTTATAAACATCAATCATGTATATTAATGCTAGGATGGAAGGGTACATAGAAACGCACAATAATTGCCTCACGGGATTAAGGCGGCCACCGTATATATGTACCTTCCAAAAAATGTCTAATACATGCACATACATGAAGAAAGTAATTAGGATGCATGAAGCCACATTACTTCATATACATGTATGTATCCGTATGTTATGGTATGTTGGCAATAACTATAGACCTACATGTTCATGTATGAGTGAACAGTGTATGTCACCACGTTGCATGGTGAAACAACAGATAATATGAAGGAAAATAATACATCAAATAAATATTTTATGTATTTTCATTTTCATTATTTTGAGTGGATAATTATTTTTTTAAAAGGTGATAAAACAAGGAAGGGCTTAGATTCATTGTAATATTCTGTAGATTGTATTGAGAAAGAGCTCACATACACATCTATAATGTATATCTTATCCTGTGTTTGAAGATTTTACTGATTCAGTCATGGAGGCCAAGTTCATGTTGATATTGTTCATTGTAATATTCTGTAGATTGTATTGAGAAAGAGCTCACATACACATCTATAATGTATATCTTATCCTGTGTTTGAAGATTTTACTGATTCAGTCATGGAGGCCAAGTTCATGTTGTAAAATACTGTATACTGGTACATGTCCTAGTTTCATGCTACATGTATAAGGTTAAACTTCAATACAAACTGAGGCAGTATAAATCAGTACTCAGACATACAATAATATATGTACATGTATAGCACACGATGGAACAGAATCTAACATCGAAAAAAGGCTCATCCCAATTTTCTAGACCATTTTGGGGGATGAAAACCCATTCCCATTCCTTGTGTAACGGTAACCATGAATGTTAATTCAAACAAAGAACATTTCAAACTATAGACTAGTGAATTTTTTTTTGTCTGCAGGTGTAGATAAATATTACTAACATACATCTTCAATATGTACACTGTAGGTTCTTTGCAAGCTTTTATTGTCCAATTCATAGAAATCATATTTGAAAAATCAAATTCTATATTATTATTGAATTATTAACAGGAAGTGCATCAAATGTTCTGAAATAATGAGGTGATGATATATTCCTTTGTTAAAAGCTTATCTTCCTTTACTCCATTGTGATGTGTTTATAAACAGCTTGAAATGTGATGAGCACTTCCTTTTGCCAACCTCAAATGTGTATCTTGAGAGACCACAAATAAATTGTTGCCACTGGGAGTCCAAACTATTTCTGGTTGTGACTCAGATGTATGAACAATTGAAACAGATTGACATGTGGGGCAAAGAGCACAAAGAGAATGAGCAAGGAATAAAGTGAGTGAGTGAGAGAGAGAAAGAGAGACAGACAGAGAGACAGACAGAGAGGGAGGGCGGAAGAGCACGAGAGAGAGAAAGAGAGAGAAAGAGAGAGAAAGAGAGAGACAAAGAATCCACATGAACATAGGATACATTTTTTTAAAACCTTGTGCACTCTTGGTATAGTAACAAGAATGAGAGAGAGTAAAAAAGGGAATGCGAGAGAGAGATCAGAAGAAACCAACATTTAGCACGTACATGTACATGTACATGTAAATGTACTGTTAAAAAAAGGTGACAAAGATATTTGTAAAATAATATATGGAAAGAGTTACATGTAGATGGACAAACAAGGAGACATAGAGAAACAGAGAGAGAGAGAGAGAGAGAGAGAGAGAACGAAAAGAAGAGATGGACAGCGGGCAAGAGCATGTAGAGCCAGTTAAACAAATAACATGAGAACAAAGAGAGGATGAAAACACAAAGATACTCAAAACATGTACATGAGCAGAGTGCATTACATGTACATCGTATAAAGGTCACTTTGTCATAGGACAAAGGTTTATTGAAAATTGCTGCATGTAATATCCTCAAAACCTATAAACAATTTCATACAAATTTAGGTTTAAACATAGTGCATCAGAAGTGATCTACACTGTAAACCCCTCAAAAAGGTTCTGCAGTTCAAGTTTTAGCATTGAAATCTCTTTTGTTAATGTATAATCACATTTGGCGTTGGTATCAGTAAATAGCCTGTTTATTCCCCTTTCAATTTTGCCCCATTTGTAATGATTATATAATCATTGAATGTGCAGTGCATCTGAATATAGGGCCAAGTCAAAAGTGAAATGTTGCAAATTGTTATTGTCAATAGTGGATTCTTTATTTGTTTGGGGATGGACTGTGTTTTGAAGGAATAAAAATGCATTTTGCAACTTTTCACTTTCGCTTTCGCCTCCCATTCAGGTGTACTGCACATAAAAGGGGCATCACTGAAAAGGGGTTATAAACTGGTTTTTCAATGATACCAACATCAAGCATGATGATACACTAACTAGAGAGGTAATGTATCAACACTAAAACTTGAATAGGCCATTTTCGTACTGTAATCAAATTGAATGCATAAGTCTTTCTTAAATGCCTCATTACCAATTGTTTCATTCACCTGTTACGAATAAATCTATTTCAATAGTCAGAATGTGAATCGAGTACATTAGTCATTGCATTTGAGATATGACTGTACAAAAATGATGGCTCTAAAATCATTATCATTATTTTACATGCACAGTCATATCTCCATTTCTCATATCATGTATGTACAGTAGTTTGTGCAACAAATGTACAGTGACTGAAGTACCAGCAATAATTTTTGAGGTGGAAAAACTTAATAGTACATGTAGATCCAGTTTTCAGGGTATGTAGAGGTCTTGTGGTCTAGTGAATAAGTCGATCACTAAACTGTACATGTAGATCACACGGTCCATGGTTCAGGTCCCAGCTGTGACACTGATGTCCTGTGCAAAGACATTAATTATGTTGTATATACGTTGGTGAAGCTTACAGTGTATACCGGTACTTATAAGAAGGCTGGCATACCAATGTTCATGCATGGTAGGGCTGTCTACACAAAATGCATGTGCAAGTATGCTGGCTATAAAACCATTATCATTATTGGACGCTGTTTTGATTAAGTACATTTGTAGGTGTACATACTACAGTACAGCCCTTCTTCACTTCAAAACTGAATTAACTCAGATTTGTACGACACATACTTCTACAGTTCCTCCACTGTTAATACTACACACCTTTTTTTTACTTTAACCCGGACCACAAAAAAAACAGAACTTACGTGTACATGTGACCCTAATCTTAACATCCCCTAAAATCCAACTGCAACCCTAGCCCTATGGCCCGAATTAACAAAAGAGGTTTAACTTTAACCCATATTTTAAACCCTCATTAACAAAAGAGGTTTAACTTTAACCCATATTTTAAACCCTCATTAACATAACCCATGGTTTAAAATTAGCACAAATTAAGCATACCTTGCATTGGACATATTGGACATCTGACTGTTTCGCGCTTATTTTGCGCTAATTTCAGACCATGGGTTATGTAAATAAGGGTTTAAACCATGGGTTAAATCTAAATCTCCTTTGTGAAGTTTTGCTGTTTGATGAAATAAACCGAAGCGCAGTTCTCCCTACCGCAAATAGGGTGTTCAACCGTAGATGGCGACCTTCCTCCTACACTGCGCAGATCAGCACATGCGCAGATACAATACTGGGGAAAATGATAAAGACAAGGTTTCTTCCGGCTTCCATAGTGATTGTATGCATTGTACTTGTATGGGAACCAGGATTGCTTTTGCCAAATATATAACCATGGCAGGTGCTGCCCTCCCAAATGTACAGGCTAAACACCGTATTTGCGGTAGCACGAAGTGTTGCATTTTCTAAATGTCTGAACACGCAACCTGAATGTTTTAACCATTGTTAGATGCATTTCTTATCATTGGTTCAGTAATGTTCAGTTAAAAAAGGTTTCCTGACTTAATCCACATTTACATTAGCAACAGTACAGGGCATCATCTCTATAAATAGCTGAATTTACTCAAGATGACCATTGGATCTGACCTCCCTGGATGCATACACATTTACCATACTACTTTGTACCAATTGTTTGTTACACACTAAGTATCGTTTTGGAAAGTTTTTTTCAATTTCCATTTTGAAAATTGATCATCTTTAGGGCAATGACGTAATGGATGTATTGTTTTTACTTTTCCATGTTATTTTGCATGTGCAGCTTAAGCAGTGAATGTGATATTTTAATGGGTTTGTTATGGAAACTACAACAAAGCATTGGCAATTAAAATCACTTGCCTTTCTGTGGATACCAGGTTCACTATATAGTGTAGAGACTCAATTAACTTATTATCGGATGTACTTGAAAATGCAGAGATCTGGGCATCGTTTCATGAAACCTTCATAAGTAGAAGTACAACAACATCTTGTGGAAACATGTGTTAAACTAATACACATATTTCAATAGGATGTTGGTTAACTTGAACTTTTGACGGTTTCATTAAATGCTGCCCTGCAGTCGAGTTTTGAGGTCTATCTTCCTTCTCCAATAATTTAATCTGATGACGTGTGACAGTGTCAGAGTGTAATGTGTACAGTGCTTTTCAATGTTAAATTAATCCTCCAAAGGGTGGGCATATATCGTTCACCACACCAATATTTGTCAAGCCTGGCTTTGAAAGAGTTCACCTCAGTTGGAGGAGAGTTCCTGTCAATCACCTCTCTAATTTGCTCTCACGTCCAGTTTGCTACTTTTCTGAAAGAGTTTGAATGGATGACTTCTTTCAAGATTAGATTGGACAAGCACTGGTCCTCTCAGTCTCAGCACCAAACGCTTCCATAAAATTAAATATGTGCATCCACTCACCATGCAAGCAAAAACAGTTCAGGTTAGAATGAAGCACCACTCGATAAAACGACCGGTAGTTTCAACAGGATCACCTCACACTTCTGTATGCTGATGACCTAGAGTTGCCTCAACGGTGACAGTTGAGAAGAACTTATCCTCATCCTTATAAGTCTAGACTCTGGATCATGTCACCTCTTCTCATTTTGCGCTGGAGGGATGGTAACTTTATTGCTCAAAGCCTGCTCCCATATAGTCTAACATTGCTTCAGATGGAATTAGCTATGTTGCTCATTTTTGCACTTTCTTGATCTCCCTCAGCCTCAGGTCTGTCGTGTATCTTGGGTGCCAAAATATATCCACTATATCCACTATTGGTCACATAAGAGCCTCAAATAGCCTGAAAAACACTATGTCCCTAGAATAGGATGTTAAATGGAGGCCCCGTGTAGAGAAGAGTCACTACCTTTGCATGTTAAGAACCCACTGCACTATTCGTGCAGAGTAGTGGTCCACCTGCACATACCACAGTATAGTACGATATTACTCTGTAAAGAGGTACAGATGTACTCAAAATGGAAGAAGAAGATTCATTTGATGACTGAAAGGACAAGGCTGGCTTTCAGGACTGCTGACGCTGTTCAGATCGAGCAAGGAGGATATTAACTCATGAATTTGGACACAGAGTTTAAACGACCTTCTAGCTCTGAACAAATACATGCGTGATACTCTTCTGAATCATGCAGCATGTGCAGCTGAAGCAGTATTATGCAGGAATGGGATCTTTTTTCAAAATTATTTTCACTTTAAATGTACATATAGTGAAATACATACATTCTGACACTACCCTCACCTGGCCTAGAAAAACCAAGTGCACATCTCACAAAACAGTCATTTATTGGAATCCACCCTCGTGGATATCCCTGATGGGGGGGGGGGGGGGGGGGGGGGGGGGGAGTATTTTTTTCTTCTTCTACTTCTAGAAACCCCCATCATTAAGTCAACATATATGATGTAGCAAGAATCCAAGTAGAGCCCATCATGCATTCTAGGCGGTCGGTAGACCGAAAATTTCTGCCTCCTCAGGTGCTGTTGTCTCCGACACCCACAGGAGGAAAAAGAAGCAGGAATCTTTGCCTCATGCCTCAGGCACCTGTGTTATTGTAGCAGAATCCCTCTTCTACACTAGATTCCTCTGTATTTCAGGTTCTACACCCACCATAATATGAAGTTACAATCTATACATTTCTTAATTCTTACCGTTACTAACTTAATCTATTCTGCTGGGTTATAATTGCTAGGAAGTTCAAACAAATGTTCACAAGTGTCATATAAATCATGAGCAATTTAGACAATTTCCATGAAGAACATGTCATATCTTCATCATGGTGATGGTGATCGAAGAAGTAACTTTATAAATTTATCTACTTCCCTTTCCTTTCTCAGACAGACGTAGCACAACATAAATGTTGACCAGACAAAAACACATGCACACGTACACAGTCACAGGCATTATATTTCTTCGCCATTGGCATTGCACTGCACTGCGCGCCGTCAGCAGGCGCAGCCTTACATACATGCCCCTGCTCGGCCTAGTCGGCAATCGTCGTCGGCAGACATCATTCGACGGTCAACTCTTTCAATTTCCACTTTTACTCCACTATCACTAAATGTTATAATTATTATACTCACCTCACTTCTACTCCTCACACTACTCGTCATATTTGCGCTGTTCAGGGCAAATGCAAGGTGACTAAAGTTAGAACAGTATGCCTGAACATCACATTAACTCACGAACCATAACAATGACCATAACAAAGTTATGTAGATCTATGGGAATATGGCAGGGCCTTTAACATTGTTATTGTCTACAGCTGATGAGAGCGCGAGTTCCATTGGCTATTGGGCTCATGACTTAACACACATGTTTTACTTTTGAAGGCAGAATTATTCTTTATCTGTACTACCTTAACATAAAATGTCAACAAATATGTACCCCTAAATACAGCTTATCAATGCAAATACAAGGATTTAGGATTTTCTAATATGAGACATTGATTCTGCTAGGGTTCTTCGCTCCACCAATCAAATCTTTCGTTCTTTTCGCGATTTTAATCAGCTGTTACGGGTGCTACGGAGCTCCTCTAGCTCTTTATGCATGTTTTGGGCCCTACGCGCATGTGCAGTTTAATTAGTGATAATAGATACGTTTTGCCCCTATATTTCCGCGTATTTTGCGTTACAGGTGGAATTCCTCACTGTGCGCGTAGCGTAAAAAATCTTAGCATTTGAAGGAAAAGTGAGGAACAGTTGCAGCGATAATAGCCTTGTCATGATAAAAGAAAATTTAAAATAAAAAATATATATATATAATATAAAATTTAAATTGCATGGCATGTGCAGCCCGGATCCACCTCCGACGTCTTGTGCAGCGTGTACAATACATATAAATATAAATATTATTATACCCCCACCCCCCATCCTAGGAGTGAAAGTTTATCGATGTATTTCGAATTCCGAGGGTCAGGAATAGTAAAGCGAATGACAATTTCAGGAGTGTACTATATTAATTAGGTTTTTTTAACCTCGTTTATCAGTGGCCGCTCGCTAGATACTCTTGAAATTAAAGCAACAAATTACCAACCAAATAAGGAAACAAGTAAACAAACAAACAAGCAAGGGAACAACAAAAATGTTACGTATTTCAGGTGACTTTTTAGTCTAAATATGTTGCACAGTGAGGAGCACATTTTGTATTGTCTATTTGCTACTTTAGGCTAGATTGGGCATTGCAGGGGGACATGCAGTGCCCCCCACGATACCTATTTACGCCTTCTTTTTTTCTTGTTTTTTTTCTAATTTCATTTTGTAAACAATTATTTCGAAGATAACAAAAGGTCTGGTGTTTGTCTATTTTGGTCATCTTACACTTGGTGACCGAATCTCTTTGGATTGATATTTTCTGAAAGCCCCTAAAGCCTTCAAAGTCCCACTTACGGTATAGTTAATGGAAGCTCTTGAGTCTCATGCCAGAGGTCCCGGTTCTATAGAAAGCGGTTCCGGGGAGCAGGCACGTAGCCAGAGTTTGATGTTGGGGGGGGGGGGGGGGGGCACATACATGTAATCGATCGAGGTCAAGGGGTCTAACAAATTTCAACCGATCCTGGAAAATGTTGGGGGCACATGCCCCCCCCCCCCCCCCGTGGCTACGTGCCTGCCGGGGAGTCGCTCAAGCACCCCGCCTCCCCCTAAAAAAAAAAAAAAAAAAAAAAAAATGATTTTGAAATTAATTTAAGTCAGGTACGTGCACAAAATAAATGCCAGAACCCACAGCCTTCACCCCCTTAAAAATATTTACTTACAATCGCGCCCGCAATATTTTAACCTTGCTTACGACATTTAACAACGTATTTTTACCACATTTGCCCCAGGGCCTCTAGACTAAAATGTCTTAATTGGATAACTGTCAATCGTGGGGGTAATGATAGTTGCAGGAAGAGCAGTCATTTATTATTGATATTGGAAATAAGATCTAATTATCGATTATCGTAATTAATTATAATCATTATTAAGTTTGACTGTAATCATTTCCGCCCGTCGTTGTTTGGACACATCTATGCCACCAATACCAGGAAAAAACGTCAGAAAAAAAAAAGAAAAAAAAAAGCGTCACAAAGGCACAAAATGTCAGAGGTAAAAATATTAGCCTGGAGGTCAAATAACATTATCCTATAAAAGCAGCATATTCAATTGAATCTGAAACTGCAAGACTTCGGATTATCTTATTGAGTCAATTACACTCCTTGTATTTAAAAAAAAAATTATAATCTCAAAAAGTTCTTAAATTCAAACCATCTTATACTGAGGAATAACCAGAAATATGGAATGAGGCTAACAATCCTGAAAAGGCTAACAGTATAAGTTGTAGTCCTACCACTGTTTTGCATATGCACTCATCCTAGAACCATCGCTAGACTATTTTAATGAGGGGGGGGGGGGAGTAGGCGACGATTGTCCGACCAAAATTCAACAGTTTCTTTTAGATCATCTTAATGTGGGGGTGACACCGCCAAACCCTCTCTAGAAAGGCCCTTGCCCTTTTTGTTTTAGCAGACACGTTTCATAATACCTAAATTTCGATGACTGAAATGATAGTGGTCGTTCGCATGCTCCCTCCCTACCATTGCTCAAAAACCCTCCAAGGCTCTGTATGTAACAGACGGTATGTAGTCTGGGGTCGGAGGGACCGAGGGGAGTCAGTTCCTAAAATCTCCGGTAAAGGGGCGCTTTTTTGCGAGACAAAGTCCGGCCCATATTGACTTTCACGACGGAGATTTATTGAGGAGGTACCTTAATTTATAAGTGCCCGTTTACATCTCCGATGAGTACCCCTGATACTTTGACAAGTCCTCCTTTTCCTAATGATAAGTGCTTTGTTTCCCTCTGTAGTATCTTCATAGGATTTTGAAGTGTACTTCTGCATCTGTCCCCTCTTTGGGGAATTTCATTTTACAAATTAAAGTGAAACTTTAAGAAAGTCTAAAAAATGGGAAAGGGGGCACACCCCGCCTTTATTGTATTTATTTTAAAAAATCACATTGCAATGTATATATAGGTATGTTATGCATTTTACTTTGTGAGGTTGCATACGGGCTAACGATCGAGAAAATTTTACGATTTGTAGTTCGGGGCTTTGTTCGGGGCATTTATAAGAGTCCTTTCCATCACACAGCCAATTAAAACATGCTCAATAATGTCTACACTTTTCTCTTTATGGGAATAGGTTATATCAGGCAGTTTTTTTTCGAAACAATCCTTTTTGGATGTCGACTCCTTCCTTACTAATGTACTTACGGATTACAAATCTACTTCATTTGAAAGTGAACACATTTTATGCAAGGAGCGTAGTGACCGAGCGAGCTTTATAATAATATAAGAGTGAGACTTTGAATTTTTGTGCACATCAGTGCCTTGTCCATTCATTTTCTTCTTTCCTTTCTTCTTTTCTCTCTAATTCTCTCCCCTTTTGGAATAGTTTTTTTTTGGGGGGGGGGAGGGCAGCAGCTCCAAGCCTCTAAGTACGCCAGTGCAAGTGATTATCATATAAATATGGAGAAAAAGAAAACAAAACAAAAACACATCCTTGATTGTTTATTCGCAATTAACGCGACCGCCCCACAGAACTGGAACGTATAATCCAGTTCTGTGGACCGCCCCACCCGGTCCGCGCCCGTCGTTAAATATTTTATGTTGTTCTTGTTATTGCTGTCTTGTTTACTCACTGACCTCTATATACAGTGAGTGTGTGGTGTGTGGTACTGGTACGTAGTCTCGCTGTGAGCGTTCTATAATGATCGGAGTCTTTTCACAGTAAAGATTCATTATACGGTAAGTGTTATGTGTCATTTTAATTATATCAGTGTGAATTTGAATGTGAGATCTAACTTTCTAAATTTATGTAACAAATAAAAAAATGTGAGAGAGCAGTTTTTATTCGTGCCGTGCTCTGTACGTGTGTGATGGGTTTCTGCAAGTGTGCGACTTGATTGGGAACAATCCCGGGCCGAAGCAGTACCCTTCGCCTGCCGGGCTGGGCCGGCTCCGTTTGTTGCTAGCGATGGAGCAGGCCGCGGCGCCCGTTGCCAATGGATTTAAGACGCCGCGTTGCTAAAAATGGGATAGCTGATAGGTTATCCACCATAGATCAAAATTTCAGTATTAAGGGTGTAGTCCACAAAGATTGGCTAGCTGATCAATAGAGAAATTTGTTAATTTGTTGGTGTCGAGCGGCAGACTAGGGTCTAAATGTTAGGGATTAAGGAATAGTTTGACAGAAATTTGACAGAATTTGTTTGAATTGATGTTTGACAGAAATTAATGAACCATCATATGATGAACACCAGGGGGTCGTTTTATGAAACCAACTCCATGACAGTCGTATACTTTGTTGGCGACCTAGCAACAGAGATGTCAGGAAGTGGATGAACCGTTTCACAAAACCACATGATCTGCAGCAACGAATTAATTATTTTGATAGACTATTAGTATTAGCTAAAAAAATATATTCTTTGCCACGATCCGTCTGATTTTATCGTGAATTATCAAATTTGATTAAGAGGCTCAATTTCACTCAAACTGGATGAAAAAGCAAAAATCTAAGTTAGTGGTAGCACAAAATACAAACACCCAATTTGCATGAAAACATATACAGTGTATGATAGATCGGCGCTACTGCAGTTCCGTATCCATTTTTTTAGCAGTTTCATATCCATTCTTAGCAAAGGAATTTTAGCCCAATTTTTTACTAATTTTAATCATAATCATATATTGCATTTTCCACCTGAATTTGGATCACATCCAACATCGGGAAGCCTCCGTTTAGGGCTTCGATGTTGACGTCGTCGCTCAGTACCGTGTCCGCGCTACAGCTTTGCAACTCAAACTGAAGCTATCAGTCTAAAATTATGCAAGCTTCTCGTATAGTTTATGGTATCGTGCATGTGCGTTATACCATAAAGCATACGCGAAGTTTGCATAATTTTAGACTGATAGCTTCAGTTTGAGGTGCAGAGCTATAGCGCGGACACGGTACTGAGCGACGGCGACGACGTCGACATCGAAGCCCTAAACGGAGGCTTTCCGATGTCGGATGTGATCCAAATTCAGGTGGAAAATACAATATATGATTATGATTAAAATTAGTTAAAAATTGGGCTAAAATTTCTTTGCTAAGAATCGGTATTAAACTGCTAAAAAAAATGGATACGGAACTGCAGTAGCGCCGATAGATCTAGCTAGATCAAGATCTACAAATGTATAAAGTTGATGAAACTTGAGGTTGCTTTGGCGACGAGAAAATGGAAATTTGCAAGTAAGAGGATACCATACATGTATCTCATAATACCCCATCGAAAGAAGACCCTGAATTTTTTACAAGTTAAGAAAATAAGTTTTAAAAAATATATTTTTATGTCTCATAATTTTCACATTTATTTATCAAATATATTTATGTGATATGAGTTGTATCAAAATTGGGCTTGGAAATGGAAAATATCTTGAGAAATACCTACATGATAATTGTTGTCAATTCTCATGAGTCTATAATTACAGGTACAGACTTCAGCGACTTTTCTGTGGTAGACCAATGTATGTAAAAATGATATTTGTCTCATAAAACCTTATAAGAACAGTTTGTATGTTTTTACAATGATTTTTTATTAAAACTAAATAGGTCTAAGAACTTTACAGTGAAATGAGAGCTTGAAGATTAAGAAATAAGTTTTATAACAAAATTTCTGTTTTAATTTTAAGCTGCCCATAGACTTACTTAAAGTTGCCTTAAAATGGCATTCTAAATAGATATAACAGGTTCAAAGTCGTGATAAGGAATTGCTGTGGAAGTGATATGCTGTATGACAGTGTATGGAACCAGACATAGTCTCGACTCAGTGGAACGACGATCTACATGTACAGTATATAAGAGACTGAAGCTTTTAGTCTATTTGAAACTGTCCGATTAGTAGCTTGAACTTCTTCTCTCGAAAGTGATTGTGGTCTCCCTGGTGGTGGGCTATATCCTAACCCCATACTAGTGGGTGTTTATTTCATGAAATCTTGACATCTGTAGTCATGGACTAGAAAAATATATAGAGATGCTCTATATTTTATGTCTGCAAACACTACACTGTAATGTACATGTAGTTAGTGGGAATTTTACATTGCTTGCATGTTGTCTTAGCTCATTTCTAAAAACTCTCTGTCACATTGATCTTTTTTTTACAGCAGGAATCAGGGTAAATCTTGTTTAAAATGGCTGACGTTGTTGCTGTGTGGAGTGTTTCTCTAAGTGATGGGATTCACAAGGTTCAGTTTGAGCATGGGACTACGAGCGGAAAGAGGGTCATTTTCGTAGATGGCAAGGTAATGATGTCCACAGAATATCTTTGTTTTATGAATTAATTTTCCGATGTACCTGTATATATCCCATTACCATTTTATTACTTGAGTAAGCAAACTAAACCAAACCAAACACAAAAAAATACACTATGTATGGCTAACCAGATGCCTAATTTCCTTAAGACAGGTTCATGCATGTACATATGTAGAACTTTAAAGGAGAATCCCCAACTTGCTCCTGTAAGTAAGATCAGTCATGAAACACTGTGAAACAGGCCACTCCAGGAGGAGTGGAGAATGTGCCTATTTGTAAAGTATAGACCTGAGATTGCATCCAGTGAGCACCTCGGTCACTGGAGGATAACTATAACTACATTGAAACTGGTAGAGAGGTATGTAAGAAACGGTTTTTAGGATGGGGGGAGAGGAGATGATTAGGATATCCACATGCAAACCAAATGGTGAACTTTGACGTCCAGGTTTAGGTCTCGTCTCTGTGGTAAGTCTTTGTCTATGGTTTATTAAGTGAAGAAATGTCAAATTTTAATTCTCGTAAAATTACCAAATTATGTGTAGCTAAATGATGAATGAATCATGGATATAAAAATCAAATATACTTATTTCATGTCATTATCTGATTCATTTTGTTCAGTTGTTTGCTTATTGAATGTAATATGTATGGAAATGTCAAGGAAGATTAGGCACTCCATGGAATAAATTAAAGCTTATCTGCCATAGTTTACAGGAGAGATTAGACCGCCCTGCAAGGTCACTGGACAGGTGGTTATCTCATCAACTCAGCTATCAGTTAACATAAGAAAAAGAGGATCGTGGGGGACCAATGGTCACCGATTAGGCATTGTTTGTTATATAGAGGGCGCAAGTAGCTACAAGTAGTGCAGTGGGCCTTTAAATAGATTTAAATAGTTAAACCAGATTTAATTTAATATGAATATATAGTAGACTGTAGGCGATTGTTTTTGCTTTTGTCCATGTAATATATCAAGAAATTTTGCAAATTAGACACTCGATGAATAGATTAAATAGACTCAATATGAATATAGACAATTGTGTTTGCTTTTGTCTATGTATTGTAATATATCAAGAAATTTTTCGAAATTTACAGGAGATATGCAGGAAGAATTGGATGTTCAAGCTGGTTGGCAGGGAAACGTTCACCATAAGTGGTACCAGGGCAGTCATTAACATAGATGCATGCAGCGGTTTTGCATACGAGTACCAATTGGAGGTTGGAGGCAAGAGCTTGGAGAAGTTTGTGGAGCAGAGGAGCAGAACCTGCAAAGTCTGGACACCAACGATAGATGGAGTTGGACATAGGATAGTTCTTGGTGAGATACTGATGTTCACATCATTTTTTGTTGTTACTTTGTCATTATCTGCAATAAAGTACATTTGGCGACAACATTTGCAACAATGTAATTTATTTGATCAGGCTTACATTGTATCTCATGTACAGCTTATATACATGTATGCTGTTTTCCCCTCTCTCTTTTTCTCTCCCTCCTCCCCTCCCCCCCCCCCCCCCTCTCTCTCTCTCTCTCTCTCTCTCTTAATGCATAATTAATAACATATGGTACTGGAATACAAGTAAACAAATTTTAACATCATTTTCATGAATGTGATTGTTTCTTATTGTTATTCTTTGCAGAGAAAGATTCTATGGAAGTTTGGTGTGATGGTCATGTTCTAGAAACAGCAGTAAGTACACACTATATTTCTGTTTTAAATTTGAAACTACACTGTATATACTGCTTGACGCAGAGTGCATGCGATAGCTGTTGCCAAGTGATATCTTGATCACACCAAAAAGGTTGATTCCTGACTGAACAAGTTACATTATCTCAATTGCCATAATCAGGTCGGTTTGGTGATGGTGTAATGCAAACCTCTGACAAGGTCTTTTTGATCACTTTGTTCAACCATCATGGTCATTGAGGCATTAGTTTGAGAAATGGTCAAATCTATTGGAATCTGGCCCTGGAAAGGATAATGAAAGACAGGAATTTTCAAATATATGAACAATGTCTCGTACTCCTTGTTTATAATAGATACTGAACTTAGCACAAACTTAACAATAGATACTGAAGCTGGAGTACATGTACAGTACATGTGCCGTTTGTGGTACTTTATTTTTTCTATTATACTTTGCATTTATCAAGATATCTGAGCAAGACTACTTGGGTACTATGGTACAAAATGATAGATCAAATGTAATATATAATTACACCCTGGTCTGCTAGAGACATATTTATTTTAGCTTTCTTGATCTTCAATTCAAAAGCAGTTCACTAGCAGGATGGAGTGGTTATAAATGCCTATATAGTATATGCTATTTTTGTCTCTGAAATTATGAATATTGCCAATAATTTAGGAAGAGGATATAATCATGTCTGTGGGGACCTTTAAAAGACATCTTCATAATTAATCTAATTAGGACCCTGCTGAACTGATGAACCTGAATAGAAATTATGGATGTACTGTATCTTGGTATAAACCAGAAGGAAAATATGTTTGTGCTAATACTCAAAAAGACTTGTACATGTACTAATGATAGAAGGAAATGAGGTGTTTAATTGCCAATTTAAAATGAATTCTTCTAATAGCCATGACATGACAATGAATGGCTCCTTGATATATGACAATGGGTTTGGTACTTTGGTATATCTGTGGAAAGCATCCCAGAATTGGCTTGAGTTGATATTGAAATCAATACTAAAAAATCAATACTGGTATGTGGATGAAATAGTGACTAAAAAGGGTTAGAGGCTGCAGTAGTTCGTTTACAATTATAGAATACTAGCTTTTGATGTCATGGCAATCATGTACATGTACATGTCGTCATACAAAGGAATTTAATTTTGATTGTTTTACCCAAGAGGAGGGTAAATGTATGTACACTGTGTACAACGAAAGAGGTAGATGTTTATTAAAAAGCCATGCCTCTCTGATACTAGTTGATCATTACTATGTAATAACGTAATGGACATATTTTCAAACTTAATGTCTGTAGCGCTAGTGATTCAAATAATGATATGTCTGGCTTTTATGTCTGCATGTCCAATGGTGTGTGAAATGAGTAATTAGCTTGCACGAGTGCTCATCAAGGGACATTATGCTTTAGGGAGGCAAAACTGCCGTATATGTGTGAAAGTCTGCAAAATTATATTATGTTGTATGGAAGAAACCATACAGCAAATACATGTATTTCAAACATGTTTCAGAATATATCATCATGTTATAGTGTAGTACATTTGTAGTCATATCAAAACTAATGTACAATACAGGCTAATCTTTGTAGCATCCTCCCTCCCATCTCTCTCTCTCTCTCTCTCTCTCTCTCTCTCTCTCTCTCCCTCCCTCACTTTACATGGGCTTGCACACTCTGTATGTACTTTGCATCTGACTCAAACCCTTTCTCATTAATTTTTCATGAGCTGCTCATGTGCTAATTAATTTCTTCCAAATCCTCACAAAAAAGATATTTTATATAGCTACTCAACATGACTGTCTTTATCCATGTAACTCTCATTCTCACATCATTCTTGTGTCAGTCCATCTGATTGTATATACGGCTTGCCCAACCCTCTTGATTCAACTTGAGATTGGGATTGCATAGACTTTATCATTAAGTTAAAAATGTACCCTTTCTTTATTTTATGTGATAAACATTTTCATATAACTCCTCCAAACCTCCAATTTATTACATGTTCAGTCATTCATTTAAAAAATGCACCCTTTGCTTGAAAATGTACTTTTTCCTTATTTTCTCTTAAATGATACATAAATGATACACATTGAATTGTTTGCCTACTCCTCTAAACCTGTAATATACAACATGTCTTATCAATCTGTGGGTTTCTAACATGCAACAATCTAGTTGCCTGATGATATGTCAAGTCGTCTTGTATGCCTGTCCATCTTCCTGTCTAAAGGCTTGTTCAAATACGATGCAGAAAAACAGCAGCTTTTTTTAATGATGACGTAAAATGTAAATCGTTTAACATTTTTGTACCTTGTAACACAGAGCTCTGTGAATACGCAGAGGACCTTTGTTGCACACAGTTGCCATTTATTGAAACTTAAAACCATATCTTAACAAGCCTTCAGAGATGTCTCTACCAACTTTTGCCTCTTCATATGTCTAAATTGCCCTACTATCTCTCCCTCCTGTCATATATATTTCCCTGATCAGTGCTTGCATTGTGTTTTCTTTGTCTCTCTCTTCCCAGGGTGAGTTTGTGGAGGATGGTACAGAGACCCATTTTGAGCTGTCAGGACGCGCTTGTTACATCAAAGCAGTCAGCAGCGGTAAGAGGAGAGAGGGCCTCGTCCATTCACTCGTCATTGATGATAGGGAAATCCCCGAAACGATGGAATGATGTCATCATTTATACTATTACACAGACAACAATTACTTGTACATTGTAGGTATGAATTGTGAGCAGTACCAAATTGAAACAGAGCGTTCATTCTGCAGGCTATTATAACAAAAAAAGGAAAAGAGATGAACATTACTGTGGAGATTTGTAGAGAGATCATGAGTGGAATTCCTGGGATTGTTTTTTCAAGGTGGAATGGAATCTACAGAATCAGAAGGCAACCTAATGACCAAACTAGAAAATATCACAAGGATCCCATGCAATGCTGAAACTGTGTTCCATTCTTTCAATGTACTTATGCTGAATTATATCTAAAGATACTCCTCACTGAACGAAAAAAATCCTTGAAAGGCTCGTTCATACAGTATATGACGCGGTGAACTGCTTGTCTTTTGGAAAGGCGAGTGGTGTGAGGAAGTGAATCTGGGTGTAACAAAGGTAATATGCATCCTTAGTAATCTGAGTGTTATAAGATGCAGGGGTCAGAAAGTGAATCATGTTACATGTACATTTATCTTGCTCTGGCTGTGTTCCCGCTGTTATTTACCATGGCATATGGGAACAAAGCTAAAGGAAAAAGATGAAGAAAAACAGTGTTCAATCAAAGAAAACATGTTGAAGTTTCTGTGTGTATTCAAAAACTGTTATAAATATTGTCACGAGTCTACGTGTACAAATGTTCATGTTTATATCTCCACAAATATTAGAATCAGCACTATTAGGATGTAACTTGGACTGTCATGAGTATGAGTCACTAAATATAGAAGACATACTAACAGCAGTGCTTACCTGTATGTTCAACAACACATGAAAGAAATTCTTTGCACAATGCATCAAAGCTAGCTGATATCAGACTGTATCTGATGCACATGCATATCTAACATAAAGCAACAAACACCATCATTTGGGACGGCACAGAGAATATCCTACCAGAGAGCATACAATATTATTCCTAGCAGTTTGTTTTATTTGGGAAATCTGCCCCCCCCCCCCATGTGGGTAGTTGTTGCTGGTATGCACAATATGTAAAACCTGTCCATTGTCTACCCCCCCCCCCCCCCCCTCTCCTTGAAATACAGGACTTTTAAATTATTACACCCACTTTTGATGGTAATCGGTAGATGATTTGAATCCCCCAATGATCAACTTGTTATTCAATCATCAATATTTCTGGATAAAAATACTGTGTGCACTATACATGTACATGTACATGTATATAGTCCGTTACTTGTGTGATGAAAGGCACTAGATATATTTAAACTGTAAGAAACATTTATTATTATTTGTATACATTTAAACAGTCCATGTTTGCGGTCACTATTCACGTGTGAAAATTAAAATGGCTTTTAAAGTTTTAAACAGGGGTGTCAAAATGTACATCAATGAGTGGACATTTTCTTGCTACTGATGAAATTGTGTAGTTGAGTGATTGTTTTAGATAATTTATTTGTTTTTAAATTTTAAAATTTAGCACATAACTTTTGCATTATTTGATTCATATTATATTTTTGAAAGTAAATCAAAACTTTACCTAATTTTATTATTTGTGTTGCTTACATGTAAGTTGTTCTTAATTATTATTGTGATAAAGTGTATTTATCTAATGTACACTCAGCAGAAAGAAAGAAGAAAGTGCACACTAGATACGGTTAAGATTTTCAGATACAGTTTTTAATGTAAAGTTATCTTTCATATATCGATTATCAAATAAACATACCCTTTCAAGAAATCAATTCAAGGGTAATTTCCGTGCCCTGTTGTAGTTCCCCTAGATATCTTACTCAGCTTACTCTGGACCTACCCTTTAATAAAAACATCCATGAGATGTTGATATGAAGTTTTTAGAATTTGTTTAATTATATTGTGAAACTATGTATGTATTCATGGAAAGTTTATATATTTTTACATTAAAAAAACATTCTTTACAGGATCTTAAAATGCTGCATATAGGGAAGTTTTCCTTAAAAAATGACACAGGTATAAATTGTTGAAAGGGTGAACAGGGATTATAGTGTTGGGTTTATTTAGCTTTTTATGGTGTGTAATCTGTTGTACTGTAAAGGCCTTGTACGTGACTGTTTATTGCCAATCAAATTTGAAAATGCCTAAGTCAACATATAATGGTCTGAAAATAGTGAAAAAACAGCACAGAATAATTTTGTGTTTGACTATTTTCAACCCAGAATATATTTTTTCCATCTTTATTTTGTTTTGAAGCTTACACATTTTTGGGGGTCTATATTCCATTTTTTTTTGCATGAGAAAATATAAGAAAAAAAGTCTAGTGTACTTTAAAATACCAAAAATATATAGAGAATAAATTTAGAAAACATTCATGTGAAAAACAACCAGGGTGATTACACTTTTATTTCCTTAATTAGTATTTTGACTCTTGCCATCACAAACGTGTTTTTTTTATTTAAATCAGCATGGATGTTATTTTTTTTTCTTTCGGATTTATGAAGTTCAGTGATTTAGATAATTCTTTATTATAATATTTTTAAATATTTTATTTGTTTGCTCCTAAATTCAATGCCATCTTGGTATACAAACCTACAGCAAATGGATTTTTCCCCCATTGCTTTTAATAGTAATCAATTTTTTTTTTTTTTAAATTTGTAATGCGTAGTCCATAAATCTTTTCTAGCCTTAACTTCCATCATGAGGTTATTATGAGGAGATAATCATGTTGAGAAATTACCCATTTTCAACCTCTTTTGGGGTATTTTTTGCCAGTAAGATGTAAATTGTTGAATCTTTCCTAGGTAAATACAACTACAACAAAATAACACTACTCTGCATGCACAGAAACAGACACTTCACCACAATGAATGAAGCCTTGACCAGAGTCTAGCTCTGTGAGTCTCTGTGTCAATTAAGATTAAAATTATTGTCTAGATTTTGAATCGGCTAAAGTAGAGAGCCTATGTTGTATGCTGTCAATATAGTCTCATATTGCAGACACTGTTACACATGGCAACTGACAAGGGTTTTGGCCTGCAACCAAAAAGCACTATGGCAAATAAAAACTCTGGTTTATGTGTTAATTAATGGCAAGTGGAAAGCTCCTGATGTGTATTAGCAGGGCGTTATCAGATGTGCACATTAATTTCGACAGTTTTATTTTGCAGTGATGTTTGTTTGTTTTTGAGGTACCGTAGTTTACTTTATCATGTGTAAACAAAGCTTAATTAATATTTAATTCAACTTTATATTAAATGATGTCTGCAGTTTGTGTGTTATTTAGTGCTTGGAGTTTGTAGAAAATATTGATTACAACATAAATGAATTAATTGCCAATTGGGTTGTGCTAAGTTCAACCTCAAAGTACTGCTAAATAGAGATACATGTATATCAACTATTTTGTGTAATTAGGGTATTTTTTTATCTTTGATTTGAAGGTGTTACTAATTTACATGTATTTCATGCATGATTTATCATTGGAAATAATTTCCTCACTCTTACTTTTTTGTTGTCGAAAGATTCTGTTTATAGTAAGAATGAGCTGTTCTCTGTAGAAAGAATGATAGAATTGGTGAAGAGAAAAAGACATTGATTGTGTAATGCACTCACATGAGTGATAATTCTACATACAAATAATTCAATATTATGAAAAGTACTTTATCTGCCAACACAAATCTTTGGGTTCAGTTGTACCAGGTTTAGAGAAACAATTTTACAGGTAGAGTTCAAAGCCTGTCCCTAGGTACAGCAATAGATGCAAGGACTTGACTTTTATATCATTCCAGGGGATGTTTCACAAAGATTCTAAGTTGAACTTATCTCTAAGTTGGACTTAAAAATTATGGAAAGCCATTAGCATCTTTGAAAATATTTTGTAAAAGTTATTTTGAAAGGCATAAAATGTTGATACAAATCATTCATATTTTCTATCATCAAGGAGAGTTCATGTTCTGGATGTGGAATTTATAAAAAGTCTAAAATACTTGAATTTCTGCTTTTGAATATATTTTGTTTTAAGGCTCCAATGGCTGTCCATAACTTTTAAGTCCAACTTAGTGTTAAGTTCTACTTAGGATCTTTGTGAAACACCCCCCAGATAAACATAGGTTTAACATGACCAGATTGGCCCTAAAGGCCCAAGAGATTGACTGCACACAAGATTTGGTCTCACAAGCCAATTGTTTGGAATATTTCTGACCCCCCCCCCCTCCCTCCCATAAAACATCAGCTACATAACTGTATAGACTAAAGGTTCAACATATAAGTTTTGTTGACCTTTGGTCTAATGACGCTTTTATCTTTTAGATCTTCAATCAACTGTAGTAAAATGTGTTATTATGGGTGTGTAAATATTGTAGATGATTTTGTGATTTTTGTTCAAGTAACCTTAATAATCACCTTGAGTTTTATGAGTTCCGATATTCCATGTATTCATGATAGAATCATTAGTACTATGTGTACAGTATATTATTAAACTGTATCATTCACAAGACTTTATTGAATATATTAAAACATATATGAAACCCATTGAATTGACGGAATATGATATCTTTTTTGTTTGCATGCAGGCGTGTTAGTATTGAATTTTGAATTGTATATCGCACCTGGGTCAGCAATTAAAGCACCTTTACCCATAATGAAAATACATTTTGTTCAAAATTCCTGCTAGAATATTAAATTTTAAAGAACCACATTAAATGGATTGGCACCAAAAGTGAGCAAGAACTGTTCATGTTCTGGTGCAAAGCAAACACAGTAGATATTGAAGAAGATACATACTGGGTAGAGAGGGAAAAAATAAAAAATAAAAAAATAAAAATTGATATCAGGAAGAATACAGTGTCTTTTCACTTTGGAAATAGATTAGATTGAGTGAATTATCTGAAGATCCAAATAAAGCAGTCCACAAAATAATTACATCCCACATGGCCAGACACATTCTTTGCTCTGAACTTTGAAAAAAATCATGAGTATTTTCTTTTTTGTCCTGTATTTATAACTTTCAGCTATCTTTCACTGGCCTATTTCTCTCACTCTTTTTAACTCAGAAGAACTTTTTGTGGAGGTGCAGTGATATAAAAAGTGGTAGTATAAAAGAATAAAAGTGAAAAATAGGATAAGAATTAAAGGAGGAGAATAATGAGAAGGAGAATGATTGAAACTTCGGGACTTGCTTCTAGCTCTAAGTTGAATCTGGGAAAAGAGTTGCGACCTAGAGTCGGAGTGTCAGAATTTTTTAGTAGATTAACATCGGAGCCTAGCGCCGCAAGCTCATCTCTGCGCGCGCATGCGCTGTGATCGTAGCAACAACTATCAACAACCATGGCTTCGTCTGGTGAAAGAATCGGAGAAGAAGGCGCTTATTTCCTAGAACGTATCCTTTAATGATGATTTGTGTCTATATTTATATTGTTTAAAACTTACCTTACTCATTAATAATGGAAATCACTGATTATTGAATCAAATTAATGAAAATTACTCGCATGCATGACTAGTAATCGCCAATTAATTTTGAAGGGTAGTCCCGTGTACTGATAATTGTGTCTCAAAGCAGGCAGCTTGGTGGTGTTGATCTCCGACAACTTTGAACTTGAAATACTAATAGTAGTGTTAGTAGGACTGTAGGAGGATGAAGAAGATAGTGATCAGACTGTTGCTGTTGTCGTTTAGTGCTATTGGCGTTCATTCTTCAAGAATATTGACGCCTTTAACTTTTTATCAATTTTTGTATGATAAAAAATTATAAGAACACTGTCTCTGGTTCATGCCCTTCGTAATTTTGTGTGGTGTTCTCACTAGAGCAGGCCTTAAATTTCAATATTTTTAGGGCAAGGCCACTTTTCTGTAGGGCACATTCCTATATTACAGCACAAATGGGAAGAATTGGAAAGGGCACAAAAAATCTCCAAGGCCAATGAGAGGGGCATTGAGGCCAAGGGGCATCCAAGGCCATGGCCTTGGTGGCCTTCTTCTTCTTCTTCCTCGGTAAATGCTACTTCATACAACGAAGATTACGCACTGCAGTGTGGTGTGTGCCATGTCCAAAATGTGTGTAGGCCTCAATCCAGGTTCAAAATATATATATACAGTGAATAATTTAATTTAATTTAATTTTTTGGATTAATTTAAGCCCTGCTAGAGACAGTAAGTACCGGTAGTCAGTAGAGTATGAGCATGTGTGTGTGTGTGTTTAGTTTCAGCAATATGATAGTTCATGTGTGGAAATCACCCTTTTCTGTCCTGTCAGTTTTATGGACTCCAAAAGAAGTTGTATTGTAAAGACCAATATTAGATCTAGATCTAGATCTAATTAAAATTTAAAAAATAATAAATAAACTAATAGACTTTTCTAGATAAATAAATGAATGAAAGTAAAGAAAAAAAGATAATTTGTTGTATGCTCTTATCATCTAGTTGCAAAATTGAAAGGGGGAAAAAAGATATTAAACAAACATTTTTAAAAATGAATAAAAAACAAGATAGGGTCTACCGGTTAAAAGAGTCTGGGTCTAGTCTAGATCTACTAAATCCAAACCTAACCGTTGACAGTTTGTTATGCATCCATCCTAGACCTTTGACATGTTTACTTAAGTATACAGTTTGATGATGAGGTACTTTTAGATGTTCCTTAATGACCATATTTGCCAGGTGCCACAATCACTGAGGATTCTGATGATGAGTTCCAATATGAGGAGATCCCTATTGATGACGATTTAGTCTCTGGTAAGTTGTTAATCAAACAGGATATATTTTGCTAAATGTTAGTACCTCTTTGCTTACAGTGAGATGAATAATTATTAAAATTCATTGAAGCTGCATAAATATTTAAAGCTGCATTAATATCTAAACTTCAGGAGTGCTGTATTTACTATACATACATGTAAATGCTGTTTCAATATTAGACTTTATTATATTAAAGGTGAAATATGCTAGGTTTCCAAATTTCTTTTTCTTTTTGGAGGGGTAGAAGTTTAAAGTTTGATATGGATTTTTATTCATTAATGTGTCAGAAAAGATAATTTAATTTTTCACTTTTAATAACATGTGACTTATACAGCTTTCATAGCAGTACCGGTAGTAACATGAGTTGCAAAAATTGAATTCACTTCATGTATTAAACTTGGTAGTGACAGACATTTACAAAAAAGTGTTTGTATTTATTCATGAAAGAAGATGGTAAAAACTGGGGCACGTTGATGATGTGCAAGTAATAAACAAAATAAGACCTGCTGAAATTTTGAAAATCGTAAGTTCTTACTGATTTGTATTAAAGTTAAATCTACAAAGGCTACAAAGATTTCTAAACAAACATGGCAAGGAAAATTTTCCTTTTGAATGGAACTTGATATGAGTCTGAAATGGAATAGTATGCATGGAGAAACTCTGTTCACCCAGTTTATTTCAAATGGATTTTCATAATCATTCTTTCTGCAGAAATTGATGAGGATCTTAATAATGCTGTGCGTACTATCCAGGAAGCACAGGAAGACCAGGAAGCAGCTGTAAGTTGAGGTTTCCTTTGGGTTAGATATACATGTACTTTTGTAGGTGTTGCTTGAGGATTAATGTGAATGAATAATAATAATAATAATAATACATATGATTTATAAGGCGCCAAATCCACTTGAATAATCACATAAGATCTATATTTGTGTACACTCAGGAGTAATTTTGATTTTGATAATAGAGCCTCTGAGGGTATGAAGGGAAGAAATGCTTTTCTAAGATACCGGTAGCCGAAATCCTTCCCTGATGATCTCACATGACTCATTACCTACTGGAACAGTGTGGCCCCTGTATTAACCCTTATAATGAATGAATAAATTATTCAATGGGATAAAAGATTTGATTCCAATCTATAAAGCTAGACTTCTTCAGAAAAATCAGGATTAGTTAATGTCTCAGAATTTCACTTGGGTTTGATCGGAAAGTAAACATGTAATGTATGCATGTATAACAATGCACCTACGTGTATGTGCTAGTGGTGAAACTTGACAGCATTCTAATGTTCCTTTGCTTATCACGTTTATCCTTTTCACCCTTCTCTCCTCATTCTTGTATGATGATTAGAAGAGAAAGGAAGGTCTCATTCCTCCACCTGTCACTCAGAGGCCAGAGGTCGTTGATGACTTTGTCCGTAATTTCCTGGTCAAGATGGGAATGAGTCGTACCTTGGATTGCTTCCAAACAGAGTGGTAAGTATTATCAATCAATCAGAGATTACATCAGTTTCTATGCTAGTGAATATCTATAACCCCTTTGAACTTCATGACAATTCGTAATTAGAACCTGGATTTTGGGGGTCAATACTTAAAATTTGAAATTTGTCATACTTGTCTTCCAGAGTGAATGAAATCCTACCTTTGAAAGAAGATTGGATTATATTGGAATATCTTGGAATTAGTTTCTCTGTGTTCATAACTATTTATGTCTCTAGTTGAATATTTTTCTGCTTGTGTTTAATTTTGAATGATAGTGCTTTGGGGAAGAATGGAGAAAGAGAATGAATACCAGCAGGATTCATGCTTGTGGAAAATAGTTAGAGGGAGAGAGAGAGAGAGAAAGAGAGAGAAAGAGAGAGAAGGGGAGAGAGACTTGAGCCATCCAATTGTTAACTAGAAGTAGTGTCTTTGTGTACCCTTATATTAATTGTCCAAGAATCATGTCTTTGACACTGAGTAACCTTCTCATCATGGTTCTTATCCTTCCCCCAGGTATGAGCTCCAGCAACGTGGTCTGATGAATGAGGAGGACGTTGGCACTGTACCTGACATCTACTGCCGCAATCAACAGCTCGATAATCAGGTCAAGTTTCTCCGTACTGATGTGGACAGGTTCAGGGATGCTGCCATGTAAGTTGAAAAAACTCTTCATTCTTGGATTCAACCAATTCTTTGCCATCCAGGATAGCAAATCCTGCATAAGAATTTTAGTGTCAAACAATATGTTGTGACTAAAATATAGTTACATTTTTCCTCTTGAAACAAAAACAGGTACCCTTATCTTGAAGTTTATTTAAGCCTTATGAGTCAAAATTTCAGTGCATTTATGAGGACTGTTAAGAATCCTTGTGGCATAGGAGGGGGTCTAAATGGTTCTATTTTAATTAATAAATTATCACATTTTGTGATTTGATATTTATGAAGTACATAAGCAGTGATGATGAGTGATAGCGAGATCCAAGTACTTAAACAAATACAAAGCTATTCCTTTTCATTTGATCTTATGTTATGAACGATCATAATTTTTGTTAAAGTAATAGCCATTTCATTAACTTTTTGGAAAGCAATCTCAAGACATTTTTCTGATAAAGGAAGTTATTATCCCGAAGGCAAAGACCATACTTAGGTCTAGTGACCTTTCCCTACTTCATTGCTGTTTCATACAACATGTTAATTCGTTAATATTTTCTTGTCTTTAAATAGGAAAGCCAAGGAGACTTATGTGAAGTTACGCAAGGAGAGGGACTTCCATCGAATGCATCACAAGAGGGTCGTCCAGGAAAAGAACAAGTTGATCGACGACATCAAAAGGTCAGTGGAAAAGGTTAGATAATAATAATAATAATAATAGTGGGTTCTTGTATAGCGCTCATGTCAGTCAAGATAGAAACAATAATTGATTGATCAATTTACTTTATTGTGGAGTTTAGAAAAAAAGTGTAGCACTAATAAAACCTGTAATTTTGCTTAAATGAATTGTGCTGGAAGTTTTATTTTGTGCTTGAAAATTTGAATGAAAAGTATATGATGTACCTGAAGCAAGTACATGTAAGGGCTTTGATTTGCTGGATACATTGTGAAGACTACTGGAAGAACTTTTGAAAATATGTAGATAAATTATAGTTCTATCCTGTAGAGATGAATAAGAATTGTAGTGTGGATGAGCTAAATGTTTCTTTATGTGAACTCCCACATTGAATGTAGGCTGAAGCGTCACTATGGTTCCTATGAACCTACCTTGCAGCAACTGAAGCAGAAGTATGAGGCGGTGATGAAGGAACGTATGTTGGCCAAGCTCGAGAGAGACAGAGCTGTCAATCAGGTAAGAATAACAATTACCAAGATATTATGCTGTCAACATTGGGAAATTCTTACCTTTTTCTCAAAATTTAAGTTCTGATCTTTGCTGGAAACAATCACTTATTAAAAAACTGAATGAGAAGTGGTTCGACAAAGGGGAATACTGTAACATTCATATACTTTGATGACCTGAAACTTTCCGGAATTATTCGATGGCCATTTACATAGCAGACCTTGTTGAGGATTTCAGAATTTTTGTATTGTGATTCAGTTATTTTGATGGCATGAAACTGTTTCAAAGCTTCTTTCTCAAGAGGTTTTACAGTGCTCTAAATTTAAATTCAGGAACAACAGTGTACAACATGAACTTTAGTAGTTTTTTTGTTTCACAGATTAATATGGAGCAGAATTTGAAGAAAAAAATTGCACTAGACAGTAGTACAAGTAATCTGTTCTTACAGCACTTTCATTTTCAAATCCAATCCATCTTATCTGTATCATGTGCAGGTGTCTGCCCTGCAAGCGACCCTCCGCAGCCTGGAGAGTGGCTTGAGAGAGGGCGCTACACAAGAGATGACCAAGGAGGAGCGACGTCTTATGTTTGCATCAGGTGTGGGTCCGACCCAGCAGAATGTTCATAGGGCCCGTGAGATGACGACGGAACCCTTCCAGCCTGACCCTAGCAGTATGGATGTGACTCAACAGACCATACCAAGACATCCTAAGGTATAGGGAATCCACTACAGGCAAACCTTCATTAGTGATCACCTGTAGAGAAAGACCACGTACCTGTCTATAAAGACACCTTTCCACTGTTTATTATATGTCTATGCACTAAGGCACTGAGAACACAATCCTGTTACATGTACATGTTGTTATGCAATTTTATTTGAATATTACAATTATAGCAACGTCTCTCCCCCAAACTCAGTGAACCTCCATATCCATATGATTAGATAGAAAGAAGTATGTTCCAAGGGCCTTATGGATTGGAAATTAATTCTTCCTCAAAGTCAACCCATCACTAAATATAGTATGAGACTCAAGTTGACTTTATGAGTTTGAAATATAAAAATATGTTAGGAGCTGAATGATCAGGCCTGTATCCCCCCCCCCCCATTTCTCATCATATCTCATTTCTCTTCCCATATCTAGTCTATCCCCTTACATGATTGTCATGTTTTATTTAGTTTGTTCAGTACTGGTATAGTAAATTCCTTTTGCAACATATCAAATGTTATCTACGATTTATGTATTACATTTACATTTAATCGGATGCAATTTTCTTTTGAATAAATTGTATACCATCTGTTCCAGTTTACATAATCAAATCATTGCCTTTTTATGTAACGTTTTTATATATTTGTATGTGTATGTGCATGTTTTTTGTTCTTCCAATGTTCATTCTTTGGGATTTTCAGTGTAATGTGACCTATTTTAAACTGATATACATGTATATGTGTAGTTTAATTTCTTCACATACTCATCCCACATGTTAAGTCAACTTTACACTTTTGACAGGTTGAAACTCATGCTCTGCCTTTTTAAATATAAAACCGATGAAAAAATGAGACATCTTTTCATATCTTAATACCAAGGCAGAATGTATGAAAATTTGTATTTACACTTCTGACTATCTTGTTGTTTTTCAGGATTCAGAGTTCCCAGTGGATAATGGTGTAAACCCACAGCTTGCTAGTGTGAAAGGTCCATCAGCCCATCTGACACGAACCGGTGGGTTCAGACTCACCCACACCTTCCAAGCCCATAGTCTGGCTGTCAGCGGGTAAGTCCTAGCTGCAACTCCATATTGATATTTTTGGTGTTGGTGGGGGGAGTCTGCAGTGTATTTTATGTGTTCCTTGTTTCATATGTATTATAATTTGTAGGTTTATTTGTAATTGTTTGTTTTGTTTAATATTTAATTGTTTATCATTGTATTTTGTTTGTTATAGGGCTTAGAGACTTTAGTGTCAAGCGCTTCATAAGCACGGTTTTTAATTATTATTATTTATTTTTGCATAGTGTGTAAGAATTTAGTACCTGTCTCATTCCTTTGTAAAAATGTTGGCTAATAATGAAAATACAGTATATAGAAGACCAGCACTAAACACCAAGTAATTGATTTTGCTAATATGATATTGTTACTCCCTTTAGCTTTGTGTATAAACTCCATTCAAATACTTTAATTTATAGTACAGACATGTTGCTATTATAGTGAAACAAAATTATAAATTTTTGTTATGTATAACATCAATATCCAGTCACTTTTTTAGGTTTGATCTTTTCAAGGAGGAAAAATGTTGAGTAATTAATAATTATCTGTGAAGCCATACAACTTCTTCAGACAGTCAAGTCATGCTGAGACCGTTTTCAGCAATAAGTAAAGGAAATGATGCGTTTTCATCACATTCATCATTTGTTTCTTCTCCATATTCTTGTTTTGGTGATCAGGATTGCCCTCCATCCTCGGAAGCAGATCTTAGCGACGGTGAGTGACGATCAGAATTGGAAGATGTGGTCCATACCTAGCGGTGACATCATCATGACGGGCGAGGGGCATACAGACTGGATAGCAGATTGTGATTTCCATCCAAGGTAATAAAGCTTGCCAGACTATTTTGTTTCCTGTAATTTTGATGTTTGCTTTTTCTATTGTACAAAATCTGTAATTCGACTTTTGAGCCCCGATTGATTTTTATTTCAATAAACCAGTACTACCAACTTTCATTCAAGAATTTTTTTCTCCAGAAATAAAAATTGTTAAGAAGATAATGCATTATACAGCGATTGCCCTGCTGCCAATTTGCAACACTCATTGAATCACCAATTTCAATTAACCATTGACACAACATACCCAAACTAAATGCTAGCTGAAGCTCAAACACTATATCGTTTTGGAATATGGCCTTTAACAATATCATCACTGATAGTAAACATCACTTCATTCTCTATTTGACTTGTGATATTATTTACTTATTCTCATCAAATCAGTTAATATTGAAAGTGGTTGTAGGAATCAACGGTATATAATATTACTGATCAAACTTTGTTTATTATTAAATTTGTTATTCCTTCTATTTCTAGAAATGTAATGATGAGTAACCCCCCAAAAAAAGATTAATTAAAGTAATACTCAATGATTTCATTGTATCTCGAGATTCATGACCCTTTGTAAATTCAAATGAAAGATATCCATTGCACAAGATAGGTATCTAAAACGTATGAGAAAGGTGCTGTTTATATATATAGTTGATTGATTGATCCCTAATATGTTGTGTGCAGTGGTTCTCAGCTTGTGACGGCTGGTGGTGACGGAACGGTCAAGATCTGGGACTTCTCTAAAGCAGAATGTGTGCACACCTTCTCAGAACATCAACATGCAGGTAGGTAACAGTTTGACCTTCATGTTGCTATTATGATATTCAGTGATAATTATACATGTCAACAACCAACAAATGTGGAAGAAAGATATTAAAATAATTACAGTTTGTCTTTTGGAAGAAAAGAAATGTTTTGAAGAATGTTCTTGAAATATCTATAGTTTGTCTCCTTGAGGAAAACATACAATAGGAATTAATGGTTCATTCTTTTTCAACAATTCTGCAATCTACAGTATATAAATGATGTAATTGTAGAAGAAGAAAAAATGTGTTTTGAACTTTTTTGTTTGTTTGTTTATTATTTAAAAACACAAATGGTTTGATAAATACATATTCTGATGTGACCCTATTTTGTTCTTCTTTTCTGCAGTATGGGGTTGTTCATGGCACGCATCTGGTGATTTTGTAGCTAGTGCATCCATGGATAACACCTCCAAGATATGGGATCTCAACAGGTACGATATGCAATCGGCTGTTCTTACATTCATTAAAAGTTTCAACCTAATTATGAAACAAATCGTGAGAAACAAATCGTATTTGTTAGCAACTATCATATTAGCTGAAAAGGTGTCACATGACACTCAAGATTTTGTTTTGTGTGCATGAGCATGCAATATAACAATTCTTCTTGCTTGTTAAAATGCGTACAAATTGTTGTTACTGATGTTGCAATTAACTAAGGCCATTTGGGTAGGTCTTTTGATACCTACCCATTGTTTTCCATTAAGTCTAGCTATCATACATTGTTTCCACCTGTAGCCTTCGCTGTAGATTCACACTGAGAGGGCATGCTGACTCGGTGAACTCTGTCATGTTCCTGCCCTTCTCCAACAACATCCTCACAGCGTCGGCTGATAAGACGGTCTCACTTTGGGATGCACGCACGGTAAGCCTGGAGAGAGTTGAATCTCAATGATTTCTGTTCTATTCCTATCAATCTTTCTACTGGCCTGATTTTATGAAAGCCAGTCCATGCGTACTTATCTGTTTACCTCTTACTTTCTGAAGGATGGCTCTCTCAAAAGTCTATTCAGTTAGTGGTAGTGGTAGTGGTAGTGGATATTTTACCTACTGTAAATAAGCAACCAGACAGCCGACGGCTTAAGGTCCTCTTTGACAGAGCTGGTAATGAGGATTAATGCCTTACCAAAGGGCACTAGCGCATCGTCTTGGTTTCGAAAACGGGTCACCGGATTACGAGACCACTGCTCTACCGACTGAGCTATCCCGCCTAATGAGTTTAAAGTCCTGACTAGCACAATTTTATAGGCATAGGTTGATTTTGGGCTGGGTTAAAGGCCTCTAATGATGACAAAAAATGGTTGAAATACTTTTTGCTCCTTCGCTTTCTTCCAGCGAATCAGCGACTTAGATGTGTCATCCAAATTCATATTGCAATGGGGGAAAAACCCAGCAATTCAGCTACCATTTCTGACATTTCTCAATCAATCCCTATTTGTTTCATAGTTTATAGATTCGTCAGACCTTATAGATATATAAATATATATATATGATAATATTAGATAGGTAGGATTTATTTTCAGAGGGATTTACAGATGATATCCCTTATTTGCATAGGAGGATTTATTTATTGGTTTATTTAAGTGAAATCCAATTCCAGCCTAGTAGCCAGGGTATCTTTCTGATGGTAAATGTTTTGTTAAAGCAGAGTTCCCCTTTACAGACACCTCACTTCATTTCTCCAAACTCATTATCCCCCCATCACCACCACAGGGTCTTTGTGGTCAGACTTTCTACGGCCACGTCCACTCCGTCAACCACGCCACATTCAGTCTACGAGGTGACAGCATTGCTTCCTGTGATTCCTATGGTGTGGTGCGAGTATGGGACACTCGGACCTGTGCATCCATGGCGACCTATGACGTAGGACCACACCCGGTCAACAGGGCGGCCTTTGACTCATCCGGTACAGTCCTGGCCGTGGGTAGCAACGATGGAACGGTGAAGATGATGGATCTTACATCAGGCCAGGTAAGGCGATTAACCCTTATACTATAATAGTGCTATAGTGTTGATAAATTGCCCAAACTTTAATCCTCTATATGGTGATTAAAAGAAGAAAACAAATAAACAAATAAAATTGCTTCTGCAAATTCAAAGTTTGTTCATAAATATTGATAGTGCATGCCATGGAAAAAAAATAGAATAAAAGATGGCACTGTGATTGAAACCTGTCTCAAAAATTTGGGACACCTGTTTCTTAACGTGCATGGTTGCATGGTCATCATGTTAAGATTGGAAATTTACTGGAAGTTAAGATACACATTATCCTGTGTACGATTTTTAATTAAAAAAAAAAATACTTATAAGAATATGCATTTCTAATGTTGAAGAGGAAAGTTGCCCTTTTTTCCCTTTTTTTTTGGGGGGGGGGGGGACTCATTTCTTTGCAAGCCTACATAATTGTTTTTCAATTGATTTCAAATTCAAGAACATTTTATGCATACTTTTTAAAAGTTATCTATGATATATTACTGCGACTGTTTGGCATGTCATTGTAAAATGTTGAAATGGTAACTGTATGTGTTCTCTTGTATCTTGCAGGTGTCTAGCCTTGCAGGTCATGAAGATGCCGTCCATGCCGTCATGTTTGACAGGGCTGGTGACTTCCTGGTCTCGGGAGGTGCAGACAACACTGTCAGGATCTGGTCCTGATCTGGTCCTGTTTGTAATATAAGACTTGGTCCAGTTCCTGCTTTCCATCTAGCTCTCATAGTCCAGGCTTAGGAAGATTAATATAGTTGAATTTATTCATTTTTAACAGCATTATGCTTGTTGATGTTGTAATAACTAAGTTTATATACTGCCCTCTTCCTATTATTCTCTACATGTAAGCAGGCAATGTTGCATGCATTTATGACAATGGAAATGTCTGATAGAGTGAAATTTGTTAGCGCTACCAATGCCAAGAAAACTGTCAATTAGAACATATTTCTTCGGAGATAAGATTGAAATGCTTTAGATTAGGCAATATGTCAAGTTTCCTGTATTTCAGGGCTGCCAAATCTTTAAGTATGTATTCAAAGAATTTGGTGTGTTTGATAGTTGAAGACAATGCTAAGACAAGACCACTGTCGTTGTTGCCAGTTTGCAACAGCATTTCAAGTACTACCAATTGGCAAAAGCCTGATAATACAAAAGTGATATAATACAGATACCTTACTCAGAATTACAGAGGCACTCATTTTTTTCTTCTTCATAATTTCATTGATCCCATTTATAAATCCCGGTTTTAATAATGTTTTGTCAAAGTGTACATTTTTCAATATCATTCATTGTTGTGATATATTGTAATTGTTGTTAAATCATATTTTTACTAAAACAACTTAAAAAAAAACTAAATAAAGCAATGGGAAGAAATACAAAAAATTGCAAGAATCAGCCGGATATTCAGAGTGGTAGGAAATGAAAAATCAGACCCTTTGTTTCATCTATTATAAACCACAAAGGCTGTTTTAAGTGTAAAATGATACAAGTTAATGCTCTTTTCCCTGTCAGAAGACAATATGTTCTTTCAGGTTATTCTTTATGACCAAGTTTTGTATCTTATATTTACATATACATGTAATTCCCATGTATAGAATGATTCATATTTATGACCTTGTGTGTCTTATGCAATGTTTGAATGTTTCCATTATTGTACATATTCAAGAAATTAAAAAGAAACATTGAATGGACATGTCTTTTTGTTTGATATAGACTTTCTTTATTTTAGAAAAATACAAAAATATTAAGTTATGGCATATTCTGGATACAGTATTGTGTATTTGATATAGGGTACATCATACAGTGCACTATAAAGCAATGAGAATTAGTGCTTAAACATTATTAAATTAAATGTAATAAGTAGAAATACATATCAAATTTAATAGAGAAGGCATAAGTTTAATTCGAGATCATGGAAATGTTACTTGATAATTATAAATTACCCATAAGTTCTAAACAGCTACAAAGACTGAAATGAAGTAAGCAAGCTTAATAGAGATAGATAGCAATTACTGCTTATTTTCTTTTTATTTCATTTTTAAAACTCATACAAATTTATTTCCCCACTTCCAGCTAGAGATGTGTTTTTTCCCCCGTTTTTTTCAGTCACAAAAAAGGACATTTAGTAGCCTTTTATTAATATCAAGATAAAGTTAGAGTAGTGGCAGATTTAGATTTAGGGATGGGGGCACCCCTCCTTTTTGTGCAATGTGATCGGCATACCTTAAGTATGCAGCAAATTTGTTTACTATTATAAAGGCTCTAGTATAGTAAGAAAACAACATAACGCAATGTCCCCATATACAATGCAAACCCCAAAACAAAACAAGAAACAAAACAAAAACAACAAAAAGAAGAAGAATGATAGGGCTATTCTTAATTAAAGCACATTTGACTTCAAAATAATGAATCTTTACCCGAGTGATTTCCATTTGGTACTTCCACCTCCCCCCCCCCCCCCCTCCCCCTCTTTCTCTCTTTCTCTCTCTCTCTCTCTCTCTCTCTCTCTTTCTACTCATTTATCTCTCTCTCTTTCCCTCCCTATGTTCATACCCCATCTTTCATCACCTCTTTCTCTCTCTCTCTCTCTCTCTCTCTCACAAACACACACGCGCGCACACCCACACGGGCTTCGTAGTGATCATAATTTTGAAAATACATGGAGCCCTGTATCACTTACTTTCGGAATAACAAAACCTATTTCATTTTCCGAATTTATGAACCCCAACGGGAAATGTGTGTTGCGGAATTATGAATCATCAGCAATAATTTAAGGTGGTACAATTTTAAAACATCCCGAAGGTTACAGCAGAAGAACCTTTCCCTAACCAAGTTTTGATCAAGCAAGGCACTGAGCGAAAATTTGGTTGGAGCTATTATCAAAATTATTTGTTCTAATTGCTACTCTTTCCCCCGTAACTTGGTATTCTCTTTATGACTATTGCACTTCGGCGATTGTACATCTTCAAGAGAATATTGATTGTCCAAAGATTGAAGAAAAAATAAATCACCCGCAAGCCTACTGTATAAAATAATCTAGCTTTCAAAATGTTGAAATAAATGTATACATGTAATTCCATGTCAGTGTTGAGCAAAATATAATTTTAGTTGATAACAATCAATTAGCTATTTTCATGTTGATTGATGAAAGATAATGCGGAGTTAAAGATTGAAAAAATTTAAAAGAAATTTACATGTAGATGCATGTAAATGTACAATTTTTTGTGCATAATGTACATTACTTTAAATAATGCGCATTACCGTATTACCATACTAAGAGAAAAAAAAATACGACTCTTGTCTGATGCTATACAGTTTCATCTGGTTTAATCACATGTTCATAAACACATTAAAACATTCTATTGACTTTCAGGAATCGTATAACCGTCATGTAAATCATCTTTTATTGGCCATTAAAGGGGAAATAACAAGCCTATGTCAACTGTTTTAAACACACAGAGTACTGGTTGACATACAAATATAATCTCTTCATTTCTGCATAGTGTGAAATTAACACGATGGTCATACATGTAGGTTTACAATATTCAACACTTTTGATCGATAAAATAAACTAAAAAAACTGGAAATATAAGCGGTTTCCAAAATATTCATATAAAAATTTGATAAGCAATTGTACAAGCTGTGAAGTTGCGATGGATTAAGAAAATAAAAACAGAACATGGCTTGTCCATGAAGTCTTACGTGCCATATAACAAAAGCAATTTTATGTCCTTTATGCTCAGTAAACTAAAAGAAAAAAAGTTGACTAACAATTACTTCTACCAGTACTGGTGTGGACATTTAACTAATAAAAAATGATATATGTTGCTGTTTATATTATTGAATATACGACAATGAAATCGTACATACATTAATAAGTACAATTAAAGTTCGTTCACATATTATGTGAACCACGCTTTAAGTGGACGCAAACATTTTTACAAAACAAAACTTAGAAAGAATTGCCAGTTACAGACAAATGCCAGTACATTTTTCGATCATGGCGAAATGCTCCATATCCATAGGCAACATAAGTGTTTTTTAAAGTGATAATATAAAGTAATGTTTTGAGAATGGAGTGCGATTCCATTTCCCAAACAAATATTCCTATAACATAAGTAATTTGTAGTTTCCATATTATATAGTTATGAACATCATTTGACATTTTGAAGCAACCGCAGTATAGCTTTAACCAGGCATTACCATTTAATCTTATTTTTGTGTTCTTGTATCTTAACAGTTACTGGATAACAAATGAATTGTGCTTTGATTGAACTCCAATATAATGAGTTTATAACTTCTTACGACTAGCCTACTAAAATTGAAATTCCAAAGATATCATACAATACAATTTCGATACAATTGTAAGTACGGATTGAGCCATGGGTGATTCTTCCTCTTGTAAGTCTATATAAATTAGCCTCATTGAATAACATACGTCAGTTGTTCAGGAAAATAGGACTTTTGGAAGAGGTATGAACTATAACTTGATTTTCTGAAGTGGGGAATTAATGGAGGGAGTGTCTGGGGGTATACACACTCATCCCAACCACCGCTGTTACATCGTATGTCGCTAAAATGGTTGAGGAATAATAAATCCTGCAAGAAACCCCTTTGATTCCATTAGTGTGACGATGATGTTGATGGTGACGATGATGTTGATGGTGGTGATGCCTCTTCTCTACATGTTTCCTATAGAGCCCTCATTAACCACTCGGTGATCGAGTCCTCATACTTCTCCATCCATTGGATGTTGATCTTGATGGTCTCGGTTCCTTGCTCGTAAGTCCTCGTCGCAGGACCGAAATCCCTCCCTTCACCGAACGCTATCCACTGGACAATCCCGATGAAGTTTATAGAAAAAAGAGGAAAGAGGGGGAAATTTAACACAGCACAAAACTTACGGGATTACAGCTTCTTTTCACAAAAAAATCACGAAGACTTTCATGAAATCGACCATGGGTAAGACCAGTAACCTTGTCAGTCACCAGCTGAAATGTGTGAACATTACAATGACTTACTCTGCCGCCCGGGCGTGGCACGTTCGCCCTCCCCACGGCCCCCTCCCCATGATACGCCGTTATGTGAATCATGGTCATCTTACCTCCTCTAAGAGTTGCTCGGTGTTGAAGTTTTGCGGCACGGCAGAAATAATGCTGGAGAAGGTGAATATACTGGTAGCAAATCTGAAAACAAAAGAATATGTACAGTTTTTATAGCATTATTCTTTCTTCATCAGTCTGCAATCGACACAACGATTCGGAAAACATATGGTTAGAGCTTAGAGATCAAATAGCTATAAAGCGTAAAACATTTTGTTACATCTTCTAAATGTGTTGGGTTCAAATGCACTTCATTATTGGTAGACCCCGAGTAATTTATTTCTCTAGGGTTGCTACTCGTTACCCTAACAGACCCAGATAGCTATCTATATACATGTAATTGTTTTGTAAAACAGTATCACGCATCAAATGGTGGATCTAGGGGGCGAGGGCACGGGGGGCCCGGGCCTCCTCCCCTTGGCGCAAGGGGGGGGGGGGGTGGGTGTTGATTCGGCGCTTAATATTTTATTAGGGCTCCTAATAATCATAAAAATTATCATTAATCATTTTTAGTGTCTAGGGTCAACTTACAAATCATAGATCTTGTCGTAATCATTACGCAAGAAGTCCCACACGAGATCAATACCGACGTGGTTGTTGCCCACGGCTGACAGTACGGACGAGACGTCCTGGCTTCGAACCTGGGTGTCTTCTGCCACCGTATACATCAGGTACCTGATTGATTGATTGATTGATTGATTGATTGATTGTGATTGAATTGTTAAATGGTATGCATTAAAACCACATGGCAGCTCACCAACTGAATCACATTGGATATACATCATGCAAAGTAATACAAGGTGGAAATAAAACATAATTTTGGTATATACATTCATAATTTACAAACATATCATACCCAATTTGTAGCAAAATGAACAAATAGATGTACTAAAGAGAGAGAGGTGGGATAAAGAAAGGGGAAGAAAGAGAGAAGTGTATGGAGAGAGAGAGAGAGAGAGAGAGAGGGAGTGAGAGAGAGAGAGAGAGAGAGAGAGAGGGAGTGAGAGAGAGAGAGAGAGAGAGAGAGAGAGAGAGAGAGAGAGGGGGGGGGGGGGAGAAAGAAAGAAAGAGAAAGAAGGTATGGGAATGAAGTTAGGTGTAGGGAGGGATTTATGAAGTTGAGGAGTAGCGATTTAATAGGTTAGGTGAGTAATAACTTATGAAATCATGAAATGCGAGTATGAGGACTAGCTCATTATTGTATATTTATATTTATATAGCACTTGACGGAATGCTTCGTCTGTTCAGAGCCAGAAGGGCATTAGCTCTATATTGGCGTTCTCCTGGCTCCAAACAGACGAATTGTTCATACACGTCCCGGACATAATCTTAAACCAAATAAAGGTTTGGAATAATCTCTATCTCAGTTTTGTTCTTGTTATTGTAATTGTTGATTTCAAAAGTGGAATAAAACGAAAATTCAATTTATACACCAGAAGCAAATGTATTAAATATGTAGAAATTTAAACTCCATTTTATTTGAGATAATCCGAAGACTATTGAAATCGAAATTTCGAAAAAATGCGTTCAATACCATCAGCCAAATTTATTATGCAACAACTTAAAGAAATGTTTAAAAAGAGAATATACACTTTCTTAAAACAAATATAATATCATATTTGGTAATAGTTTAATTCTAGCAAATCTCTTGCTCTCACCGGTTCAGAATCCAAGGCTGTCTAGAGCATCCAAGGGCCGACAGCCATTTTGATTTCTCTGAGGAATCGGAGGACGAGAGGTACTTGTTCCAGCCGAACTCCCACTCGGTCTGACCGCCATCACGGATACCGTTACAGTACACAGTGGTCTTGAGATTGTTGCTAATGCTGTATGAAGAATGGGTAAAGAGAGATGGTCAAAGGTGTGGGATAATAGTCTCGATAAAACACAAAAAAGCTCTACGTGTATAGAAGTCTTTTCTGATATTTTAGTAATGCGTACTTGATACTTGCTTTTGGTCTAATGTCCTCTTCGAGACAAAGAGGACAACTTTCAAAATGACGACAGCCACTGCTACTACTACCACTTCTACCGTTATCACTACTTTTATCCCTATTACTTCTGCTGCTACTGCTACTCGGCTGCTACTACTGCTATTGCTACTATTTCTAATTTACTCCTCCTCCTCCTAGTGAGTATTGCACATATCCTTCCCCATCCTCCTTTCCCTCCCCCCCCCCTCTCTCTCTCTCTTTCTCTCTTTCTCTCTCTCTCTCTCTCTTCGTCCCCTCTCCCTCTCTCCGTCCACTCCTCCTTCCCCTCCTCCTTACACTCCTTCCCTTCTACACCCCCTTCAGACTTACGGGTTGTTATCAGGATTTTGCATGTAATCTTGGTAGAGTTTGGAGGCTTGGTCCAGACAGTCTGTCACGCGGTAGTAGCACGCTACACGAATGGCGTTGTTTCGATTGTATCTAGCAGAATCAAATGATAAAACCACTTAATCACCATCAATGCAATGATTTTTTCCATGGGAGCGATGGAAATAGAAAAAAAAAACACGAACCAGGATACTCCATTTTCTGCGATACCTCCAAACATGGCCAATATATAACCAAAATCGCATTTTTACCAATAGTGTAGAATACTGGTAATCGTGGTAGAATATCATTCTTAAAATACACCTTTTAAAACAGTCTTGAAAGTTTGGTTTCAAGGGATATTGAGCAGTTTCAAGTGTTGTAACCATCATCATCTTCTCAAGTTTTTTTTTTCATGTACATGTTGCTGAATATCACAAACAGGTGAATATGAGCTAGAGCATGTAGAGGTGTGGTTAAAACCTTACCACCGGACCACTGGAAACACGTGGCCGAAAAGGGTTGGTCCAAATCTGCCAAATGAAAGTTCGATTTCATTTCATTTCATTTACGGTACACCATGTGTAAAGTCCTAGAAGGACTAAGGAAAGTGGATAGAAATAGAAGTGAAATGGAAAGGCGAGAAAGTGGAGGTTGGAAGGAAGAGTGTCTTTCGGAAGTGAGTATAGTCCTGAAAAGGACTGTAAACCAGAAAGTTGTAGACAGGATGAGAGCTTTGAGTAGAAGACTGGCTTGAGTCGGCGAGTAGAGTTGCAGAGCAGGAGCAGGAGAGTAGACTCGACGTTTCGACAGGTTGACTGTCCGTCTTCAGGAGTGAGTGTTCGCGTGTGTGTGTATTGGGTTTTTACAGACGTGTATCAATCAGGTATGATTATTTACGTCTGGGACCGACCTTTAAACGTCACCATCCGAAAGACGTGACTCAGCTTTTCCCCGACTATATGTAAAATTAAGAGTCGTTCTTAAGACTCGTTAAGATATGAAGTGGTAAACCAAAGCATTTAAAAAATATTTTTTACAACTTGTATAAAATGAATGCCAAGTATGCGCAAACAAAGGTCTAACGTGAATTTACTGATATATGATTTATGTTACAAGATGCAGTGATGTGAAGCATATTTAGCTTCGTTCAGATACGACGCGGCAGAACCGTTGCGGTTTTATTATTATTGTTATTTATTTACGATTCTTTTTTGGTGTGTGTGTGTGTGTGTGTGTGTGTGCGTGTATGTGTGTGTGTGGAGGTGGTTTACCGCGTCAAAGCTGAGCCTTTAACACCTACGTCTTCTTAAAAACAATACCCACCGCGGCTTACCGCGTCAAAGCTGAGCCTTTAACACCTACATCTTTATAAAAACAATACCCACCACGGCTTACCGCGTCAAAGCTGAGCCTTTAACACCTTACGTCTTCATAAAAACAAAACCCACCGCGGCTTATCGCGTCAAAAATGAGGATTTAACACGTACGTCTTCATAAAAACAAAACCCACCGCGGTTTACCGCGTCATACCTGATAGAGGCTTTATGTTACAATATATACTTTGTCCAAATCGTAATTGGGGCAGATAAAGGGAGAATTTAAAAAAACCCGCAGCTCTGGAAATATACTTACTGCTCAAGGACTTCGTCAGTGTCATTCCAGCCTAGAGAGTCGTAGAGAGGCTCCACCAAAGCTTGCATGTACAACTGAAAAAAAGATTATAGTAGAATCATATTGTTACAATCATGGATAAAGACAACTTCATAAAGCGGCCTACTCATTATACAAAAAGTGCCACTGTAGCTAGCTTCGACGATAATTGATCATTTCAATTTAAATAATACATGCAGTGAACCTTACACAATGTTTGGCCGGTAGACAACGAGGAGTCGAGCAATGTTCTCTACGCACGTAGATTCCAAGATTTGTCACGCCAGTGTCATGGCGCCTATTTTCGGACAGATAAGAACCTTGCGCTAGGCTATCGCATCCCTGCGTCAAGGAGTTGCATATGTGCCGACGGACTCTGCCCAGGCCTAATCTGTGCATTTATTATTGCCTTAACGTCCTTGAGTGATGCAATGGAAATAACGCTTTGTCATAATAATAAGCCCAAATAGCCATTTACAAAAGTTCCTGGCGGAACGCTGCAATAGCCATTGACGCAGTCTGTGACGCACCAAATGAGAGCGACATCGAACCCGTTGTCCGGTAAATACCTATAACTGCCATATATAGAGTCCCCACGAGAAATCACAATTAAGTATATCTAATATTGATAGTTCGGTAGTCTTCATATTGACCGTTAGAAAAAATAGTAATAATAATTAATATACATAAAAATCAGGAAAGTTTTATAATCTAAAAAGTATTGGGTAAAGGCCTGATTTTTGTCATTGTACATTCAAATAGAAATTATTAAAATGATAAAATAATACTTCTGCGGCATAAGAAACAGTGCAAACACAGCGTTGGATCACCAGCGCATAGACTAATTGCCAGCATTAGCTTGATTCGCGTTGGTTACAAAAACGCAATCGAAATGACACTTCGTGTGCATCCGGCTTAAAGACAGGGTGCAGTTCTTGTAAAGGTAAAATATAATTTGAGAACTTTCATGTTACTTTGTGTCTGCTTAGAAGAGAATCAAAGTAGAAAATAATGTCTCCTGAACAGGATCGCTCTTCAAATGCCCTCATATTCAAACTATAACAAGAAATAATTGACCATAACTCAACTTAATCTTGGAAGTGTCCATAAAATGAGTAGAGCGACTATATTGATAATGTCATGTGATGCTATCTTAAAGGAAAGTGATCATGAGTTCATACGAGATAAATAACGTCACAATGCATTAAAAACAGATAAGAAATGACGTCACACTGTACTGACCAATCATTACGGTTCTTACCTCTAGAGGGCCAAAGCCTCCACTGAGTCTGAACATGTTAGTGATGTAGGACATGTAGTCCAGTGTGGCCTCCCATGGCAGAAGATCCTTTTCGTTTCCAAGGTATCTAGTGAGATTTAGCGCGGTTTCCATGGAGATATTCCCAGTGCGGGCAAGGCTGAACGCGTCGTCAATCAGTTGAGCACGATTTTCGTTGGGGAAAACCTGTTAGTAAATGATAGAAAGGATAAAGCTATTTTCATATGCAGAAACAAGAGGTTTTTTTGCAAGTCTAGCTTTAATTGAGAAAGAGTTTCATTTTGGTTGAGTGTCGATTATATTTTTTTCATCAAATTTCACAAAACCTCTCCAAATTTAGAATTGAACATTAATATTTAAAGGTGTATTAAACTACTTATACTAAAAACGGCCAAAGTAATGCTTTGAATTATCTATGTTGATGACCGTCATCTATTCATAATTACGAAATTGTTCCACATGCCATTCGCTTGAAAACGGGTAAAGGCACTATACTACTACTGCTACTACTAATTACTGCTGCTGCTGCTACTTCTACTTCTACTACTACTACTACTTTCACTACAAGTACTACTTCTTCTTATTTTTAATCTTCTTGCTCATATTACTGCAACCCGAAAAACAATGGTAGGAGGAGGAATGTGATTTTTTTGTCAATTTGAAGTTGAATAAAAGATAAGTAGGCATATAGGGCTAGCCTTCATACCTTGTGGTCAGTCATGAGTTGATCGGTCAACCTCATCCAGTTTTCATGATCATAGTTTACTCTGTAGAAGCCATACTGGTAAGTGTTCACCATGTACCAGTCATTTTCATCCACAGTATCTGCAAGCTCGAATTCGACTGAAGAATGAAATATAATTTAAAGAGTAACAATTTGACGAGAAATTAAACTTTTGCAGTGTTCTATTTTGAGTTCTGTAAAACTTGTCGTCTCTTGTTTTTTTTAAAAAATAATTTAAAAGTCAATCATTTTTAGTTGGGAGTGAATGCATGATGGTCAGAGAAAAAGGTTAAAGACATATTCTCGACAGTTTTCATGTACACTGATAGTTCGAATTACCACACGGGTGTTCAAATCTTGCACGCAGCGAAACTCGTGCCCCACCTAGAATTTGCAGTGGGATATGGGAAAGCGCACAACTATCGTTCCAATGTACATTTGCTTACAAAGTGCGTGCAATGATTTTTTAGACCTGTCCGTCGTAAGAAATAAGTCCATTCTTAGTTATAGATAGCAACCATTCTCGGCCAAAATTGTGTCCGATTCCTCAGGAGTACCCCCGATTAAGTGTATGTTATATTGAACTGTTCGGAAGTCTTCATATTCACCATTGGAGATATTAGCAATGCATGTATATATAATCATCAGAACAGGTCTATACGATATCTGTAACCGTAAATGTTTGGTAAAGTGTGTTTTACAATATGCGCATTACGAGACAAATTAAACTAATAAATCTGTTATACTTACTAGAACGATCTTTTTCCATCCAAGCTGAGTTTGGCATAATAAAGTTGTTGGTTGTCTTGTCCGTGTATTGGATGTAAACTTGCCATAAGTACCTATGTAGGAGTGAATTATTCAAAGTTACATTCAGCAACAGCGTGTAGTTTAACAATGTAAATAACGTCATAAATATACCAACATCATTAATTTTTCTTTTCGCGCACTACATCATTACACAGGTTATCATGCGAAGTATTCTTGGTAGAAGAAAATGTCAAGTCAGTCTCATATCGGAGACAATTTCGCGACTGAAATTATGTCACTATTATTTGCAGCTGAAAGACCATAAATACACCGCAATTGCGATTCTACTACGCTCAAAATTAAAAAGGAATGTGCACTGCAGTGTGCGGAATAGTAATTGAATTATAATTGAATAATAATAATAATAATCCTGTAAGCGCTTTGGTCATTTTAAGGTAAAGCGTTTCATTATTATAAGAAACAGGTATTGTTATCAGTATTTGTAGTTCATATATACCCCTGATCTCCGTATTCCTGACTGACACCCTCAGATGGGTTAGAGAGATAGTGTTCCTGATGTGCCGTTACTGTTTTTCGATCTGTCCGTTCTAAGGTGACTAGAGGATAGCCCATCTGTAATGTCCAGGTGTCCATGATGGCTTTCACGTCGAGGCCACCGTCATCTTTGTCAGCCTTCAAAAGAAAGAGGAGAAAAAAGATAACCAGAACACAGAAATGGAATCTTTGCAATTGAAAGTCGAAAGATATTCTGAACAAAATCGCAAAGACTTTCGGAAAATCAACACCAGAGGCAATTTTGGGAGCACTGTGGGAGCACCGTGATGTATTGGGGAACGTTCTTGACTCTCAAACGAATAGTCCTGTGTTCGATCCTTGCTGATTGACTGATTGATTGATTTTTATTCGTGAAGCTTCCAACATACAACAATATACAAGAATAACATATCAAAATTAAGTCATCAACTATGCTAGGTACTTACATTCATGGACAAGGTATTTTTCCACATTTGCCTCTCTCAACCCACGTATAATTGGGTACCGGGCAATGCTGGAGTAATAATGATTACGGGGTCCACACGAAGATTGATACTGTTGTGGCAACCCTTGGTATAAAAGGCCAAATTACTATTCAATATTATTTCAACAGCCTTGTTTATCACTGATTGAATGCGTGAACGTGATTTCTATAGGTAGTACAGTAGAGAATTGAATTGCTCATGATTTGATTTCTCGAAATTCTTTGCAATCGTCTTTACGTAAAGATTAAAGCAAAGTCCCGCTATATGACTAGTACTCCGAACAGAAATTCGTCATGTTGCCGCTAGCAGGACAAGAACATAAATGTTCGTCAACTTGTAAACTAGGATGATATTGCTAAACATTTCGGACATCCCTTTTATGCACATGAATGACTTTACTCCTACTCTTGTAGACCAACATTTTTGTTGGTAGTAGACCCTTTAATCCCCTGATTGGACAGGGCGTAAGTATACCATTTTGAGTGTAATTGGGGTATATTTCGGATCAAATTCGCTGTCAAGTTAGGCTACTCTTTTCCAACAAGCGAAGCCCCCCACTCCTCTCCCCCAAAACATCTACAACAACAACAACCTTTAAAAAAATGGAAACCAAACTCAGGCGATGCTCTTCCTTTTAACTTTATTCATGATTTGCCTTGATACTGCATGCACGGGATAGCAGCATTTCCACTGACCTCCGTTAAGGCGCTCCAAAGATCGTCCGAGTCAGCGTTGCCATAGGCATGTTCCTTAAGATAAGCTGTAAGGCCCCGTGTAAACACTTCCTCTGTCAGGATGTTATTCAGCATTCTCAGAATGGAACCACCCTTTATTTAAGAAGACAAAAAATAGAAATTCAAATAATATCCATTATGTGGATTATATAATTTATGCAATTCTTTAATTGCATATTTTGTTATAATACTTTTATTGCATATTTTGTTATAATACTTTCATTGCATATTTACTGTAACTCTTTAATTCAAGTGATTGTACTTTAGACACCAAGCAACTACTGTCTTAAAATCGACCTGAGGCAATTTCAATCACCGTGTACGTCACCTTTGAAATATTACGTAATCCGTACATTATTTCTATGGGACATACAATATGGTTTTCAAATTTCCCTGGAGTTGATTTAACGAAAATAGCCGCGATCGTGTTTTTTATGTACTTATGATAGCTTTAATGGTGAAAATATAATTGATGATAATAGCAAAAGTAATACTATGAATAATACTGATAGTATCATTCGGATATTTAGTATATATGTCAAGGCGCATTACATTACCCAAAAATGTCTATGTTAATGTAAATCGTAATCATTCTGAAACGAATCACGTTATTATAGTGCCGATTTACTATACTGAGATAAAGTAATTAATTCAAATGCAAGTTTAGCTTTATGTTCCGTTTTTTAAATCTTTTAATCTCTTCAAGATAAAATATATCGAGCAAAGTACGTAAGCGGCGCTCACGCATACCCACCATAGCTAGCAGAAGAAAAGTAGTTGTGACACCTTAACATTCACGCAGCTCTAAATAGTTCTCTCCATCACACAATATGTGTGGGGAAAAGCTCCATGGATCTGACCAATGAACGAGAGGACGTGCCAGTACAGTATCAGAGTTAACTCTCCTCTGCTAGCTATGGTACCTTACCTCAGGGGTGTATGTGTCTTACCTTGTTGTAAGAAATCGAATCAAATATTTCATTGATTTCTGCCGGAGCACCTACGTCGACACGAACCGGGTGAGAAGTTCCCAAGGAATCGAGCTCAAAGACTGGTTCTAAGTCGTTGATTACGAACTGTTCCTTCTACAATTATTAAACAAGAAATGTCGTCACTTGAATGGCACCTGGACATTCAAAACTTCTCACATGACAAATTAAATTATTAAACATTACTTGTATGTTTTGTTCATTTGATTGTCCAGTGTGTATTCAAAGTCATAGATGCGCACTGTCCATGCACATCCTGGCATTGAGAGGTTCTTCTGTTGTTTGCCTCGTTGATGCAATCGCAATCTTTCTATTTTTCTTTTAAACATTATCGTATCTAAACAACCTCCGCGTAAGACACTTTTATAAATAAATTCACTGTTACGTACGATATACGCTTTCGAAGAAATAATTTAGAAGTTGCTTGACACTGAGCTACTTCCGCCTCACAAAAAATAGAAGACGTAGAAAAGTTATTTTTGAAAATCAGTAAACCCAACGTGATCGCAATTGTCCAATTTCTATTTTAATGTCAACATCAACTATTATGAGTAAAAATATATTTACCATGCCCCATGTGGGCTCTGTAAAGTCAACGCCGAGGTATTCGACGTAGCTTGCGAATCCCTCGTTGAGCCAGAGATCGTCCCACCATTTAGGAGTAACGAGATTACCGAACCACTAATGAATGAAAGAGGAAGGAAACAGCATATCATTATCCGCATAGTCTAGCTGTACAAATCAGTAGCAGACAATAACTATGACATTCTGAGGTAGATATCCCCTCTCAGTGCTTCATCAACCTCAGATTGCAACGATGTTTTTGTTTTGGTGTTGCACCTATTGTTAAGACGATCGCAATGAGTCCAGCAAAATCAAATCATAGGCGATTTGTATATCCTATATAGCAATCATATTTGGATTACGCAATACATTGTAATGTTCATATATTTCATCAGGTGATGAATTAGTCTATGGAAATATATTTTGATGGGTTCTTCTACAGGGGAATCATGTATTCATTTTCTACATGCATGTGCCATGATTAAATTAATTTATAATCAATACAATCATTTTTGTTGTTGTTGTTGTTGTTGTTGTTGTTTTTTTTTGGGGGGGGGGCTTAAAGTAATTTGGGCTTGAGGACCCCCCCCCCCCCCATGTCCCCTCTAATTCCGCTACTTTCGGACATGCCAGTCAAATTACCTGATGAGCAAGTTCATGGGAAACCACGACGGCAACATACTGTTTGTTGCTGGCCGAGTTAACCTCAGGGTCGTACAACATGGCTGTCTCTCTGTAGATGATGAGGCCCCAGTTCTCCATGGCCCCCGCTGCAAAGTCGGGCACTGCGATCATATCTGGAAAGACATATTTAGAACAATATCTTTAATAATGGTGGCTTCTAGACATGTAAGTAACGTTGTGGCATTCCTGGCGTTCCAACAGTATTACCCCTGTCATAGCCGTGATATCCAAACAAAGCTCTCTTAGAGAGCTTTGTTAGACTAGCGTATCAGATACTAATTTAAACTTGAGGGGAGAGTTGCAAATGAGGATCAATGTCTTGCCAAGGGAATTTAGCGCCCAGCTGGGACTCGAACCATCAACCCTTGAGTTGAGAGCCAAGTGACTGAACCACTATACCACGACACCTCCAACATTCAGTATAACGGGCAACCAGGTTATATTAAATGTGGTAAAATGTTCTTTACGAAGTAGTAGGTCAAAGCATTCACTTTATGTTATTTTTTCATTCTCAGAATATCTTGTCTTTAGAACAGTTTCGTTTTACTTTTTCATGTGTACAAGTTTATGGATATAAGGTGCAATGATGCTTTGGTTGAATTGAGGCAATGGCACACTGTTGGAGCCAGATGACGATTTTCATAAAATTGTATAGGACATTCAACTCCCTTCAACTGTACGAATATTGTAAGAGATTGCTGTAGTTGTAACTATTACTACTTTACTTGTTGATGATTTTGAGAGTAGCTCATTATCAGATAGTCGTTATATTGATACCCTCTCTATACCTCTCTTTTCCCTTTTATCTAAATACGGTACGTCTCTCGTTGTATCCGCAGATGGAATTATGCATTGTAATGGCTCCTAATTAATACAAACCTTGCTTTTCTAGAGGAAATGGGATACCGAAATAGTCTTCGAAATAGGTGATGATCTCTGAGCCGGTTTCGAGTGCGTACCGGGTGTTGTTCACGGCCTCGGGTCGAGACCATGCACGGAACTAGTCATCAGAAGAGAAGGAAAGAAGAACAGAAAGTGAAAATACATGAAGACGGCTGCTGCTAACGAGACCTAAAGCCCATTGACCACGGCACGTAATTATGAAGTTCAGGTGAGCGTTCTCACAACTTCTACAGATTCACGAGATAAAACAATAGTTGTTAATATAATCATGTAATAATAAATTAGGTAATTAGAAGAAATATCAATAGTGTATGGAAATAATGGAGTCTGTGCAAAATTATATCTCTAAAGTAGCGATATGAAAAACAGAAAAGAGGTGCCAAATAATTATTGTATATGTAATTAAACATGGGAATAATGCTTACAACCAGCAAGGACACACCCCACATCCCCCCCCCCCCCAATAAAAGAGAAAGAGAGAATAATGAATACAATAAGTTAAAAGGTGATGAGAGAAAAATCGCAGATTAAGACATTTCCTCGCTTTATCTATGTTTTTTTTCTCACTTTTTCTGTTTATTTAATAAGCCTATAAAATTTCCAAATTGGATATGAATAAATCCCGTGGCACTAACTGGGTGTTTATTTCATATGAAGAAAAGAAAGGACTTTACTCGAACGCCGTTGGCGGTGATGTTCTCCGTGTAGTCAAATGTGCCGACCGTAAAGGCGAGAAGATAGGTGGGCATTTTGGGGGTTGGAAGGTAGGTGGTCCTTGTCCATTCATCTGCTAAGTCTTCTTCGTCGATTTCAATACCGTTTGTAATGGCGGCCATGTAGGAGCGATGTACAATAGTCGTGTTGAAGACAGCTCTGAAGGCGGGCTCGTCGAAACAAGGCAACGCCTTCCTCGCACTGGTAGGTTGCATCTGACTTGTTGCTCCCCAACTGGATAAATCAGGGAAATACAACCATATAACTAAAAGACATCTGTAACTGATTCATATTTATTATTATGATACCCTGAGCCACAGTTTTCTTATATAATCAATCAAAATGTGCCTTCTGGTGAAGTGGATAATGAGCTTTCTCGTTATATTCATATTATAGTGGTGGAACATCAAAGTAGAGATCTACCTTGACTAGGATTACTCTTCAGGTTAATCATATTCGAAAATATATTTCCAAAACTTGCTAAAAGGCTTGGACTAAACTTTCCTGCCACATGTGCGTGAAATCCCATGTACCCACTTCTTGTGACGTCAGCAAGATTTAGTCATATTATTTTGATTATTCCTAAACACCACAGCATACATTTATAATGAACCAATCCACATTGCTTCTAGACAGTTTTTTTCATTGCGTACATAGGTCAGTCAAATCCCAATATTTCTCCATCTACATGTTTATCGCTTAATTTTCCATCTTCGGCAGGTATGGGCTGCGCAAAACAAGCACCTCGATTTTCTGAGCCTTCTTCATTGTACTGCTCATCATCGTCCCTTTCCCTCTCTTTTCGGAAGTTGAATTATTTTTATGATTTACTAATATATCAGTTATCTTATTATAACAATTGTCAGGGGCGAGAATAGTAACTACAGCTTAGAGGGAAGTTTACGCTGCAAGTACACTAGCAGGAGCTACGATAATGAAAGAAAATAAAAAATAAAACAGTTGATTGAAAAGTTAAAATAGATGCCTAGAATATTTCAATGTACATTTAATCCTGATACAACATGCATAATTTCGTACTACTGAAATATAACTACTTTTAGACAGTTAATCGAAAAAGTCTTGCGACACCAGCGTATTTCGAAACTGGTTCTTATATGTGTAAAAGCCAAGAAGAAACACACACTGCCGTCGAAGAGAAAATTAAATATATGATGCACTTTCTCGTCGAATATTCTTTTTTCATATGTTAAAGAAATGATTGATCTTTCCCTTACTTATCCTTCAGCGAGCCAAGGATATATAACCATGTTTTTTTTAAAGACCAAACTTAAATGCATACATAAATTATATTACATCTCTGAGTAGCGTCTGTTACGAAAGGTCAGCAAAACACAACAAAAAGAAATTGTACTTTGTCCTTATCTTTTGAAAGCAAATATAATTTTTGCTGTGTCAACTGCACACTCTCGACTTAAAAGTAGTAAAGCATTGGAACGTGACGTATAGACAAATTGCTACATGCTCGACATTATGATACAAATATGATAGAACAATATAGTACTAATGACTGCTATGACATACATGGTTGTTTTTATACGCTCAAGGGGAGGACATGATCGTGCTATCGCCCCGAGGCGTGCCGAGGGGTGATAGCACGATCATGTAACCTCACAGAGAGCCTACAAAAACAACTATGCCTCGAATATTAAAGAAATCATTATAACTTTTATAATTATACATTGCAAAAACCAGAGTGTTAAAATTAACATCAAGGGTGTTCAATTTAACACTTTCTTGGTATTTCTTGGTATATCGGACAACTCCTCTGGTGTTACTTAACACCATTTTCTGGAATTAGATCATTTCAATTCCACTTTTGGTGTTAATGTTTGACAACTCCTACTGGTGTAGATTAACACCAATATCTGGAATCATAAGAAATTCAATTCCACTCTTGGTGGTAACATTTGACAACTCCTACTGGTTTAGATTAACAACAATATCTGGAATCATAACAAATTCAATTCCACTTTTGGTGTTTATATTCTTGTTGATCCAATGGTCCTACATTCCATATTTCCTATTATCGACCAGGGTAGAAGAACCAGTGGTAAACTGATAATTCATAATCGATGTTAGCAACTGTCCACCAATAGGTATATTCTAATCCCCATTGCATTAACTCCATCACATAGATCATTTGAAGTAATGTTTAGATTAACATTTAAATAATACAGGCTGGTACACGAATATATAATAAATATGCATGTTGTTTCTTGGTTAGTAATCTTATAATCAATATATCTATCGCTAAAACGTTAATGTTATTGTAACAAGATCGGACAAATAATCTATTGGTTAATAATTGCTAAAGGAAAATACAAATCACAAAATTGATGTGCATTGTCATAATTTGCTTAACAAATCATGATAAATGTATTCTTCTGTGAACACGTGTAAAGTAATCATTAAGCGCGCGTACACTTTGTGAAAACTTATTTGACCAATCAACCACCTTAAACGAAATCACGTGATGATACTTTCAACACCGAGCATAAAACAACACCATGTTACTTAACACCAAGTAATTATTAATGCGTGCTTAAATCTGACCGGTGTTAAAAATAACACCAATGGTGTCAAAAAAATTCAATACCATACTGGTGTTAGAAATTTAACACCCTGGTTTTTGCAGTGTACCGAAAAGGGTCATATAATACTTGTGCGACTTACCAATCATGGTAATCAAGTTTGTTTACGCTATCGTGACATATGGTATCTGGTCGCGCACCACTCGAGTTTGTGTGCTAAAATCCTTCCCATTGAGATTGCACGCATATACGTAAAATGCAAAACTGAAGTATTTTTTCAAAAGACCGGTTTTGGCATTTTGCGGGAATGGCTAGAAAGCACGACTCCAATTTCGACTAATCAGATGGCTGGATTTCTAAAGTGAGGTATATAATATTATATATTATATTCCACATACTAATAATCTTGCTCTACGATTGGTCAAAAGAAGATAGAAGTACTATCTACACAGTGCAACGTACTTTAATCGTATACGTTGCGCATTGCTCTCCTCTTTAAGCGCTTTTAGTGTTAGTACGCGAACTTTGATCACGCGCGAACTATGGTCACATCACCATACTGCATACACTGTACGTTTCGTACACCGTTTGCTAGCTGTTAGTTGATGACTTGTTGCTCTAAAATGACGGAAGAAGTGAAATGTTTCCGATGTGGAATATAAAGCAAATAATCACCTTTTGGTTTCAGGCGATGGCAAACTATCACTTCCTCGGCGGTCTGAATGTATACGCTATCTTTCCTCAGCTTCGCTTCGGAAAGATAGCTACATCCAAATCGCCTCGAAAGTGATAGTTTGTCCCATCACCTTCACCAACGGTAATTATTTGCTTACTATTATTAAAATTTTCGCAAATAAGCGGGTGGACAATACAATCTTTATTGTTCTAATTAGTATTTGTAATCTAAATCATCTTTGAATTTAACCAATGATATCTACTTTCTCAAGTGAGTGGATTATAGTTACACATTGTTTGGTTTTATAGTGAACAAAGTAAACGACCAACACAACAATTGAGGTAAACGCGATACTTCCTAAGTCACGTTTAACGATTGGGAAACTTAGATTTCAGTCTAACTTCCCTTTTAACCTCTTATTCAGACCGTTCTTAAATCCCAGAGTTGGGATTAATACCCTATACTATATGTTTAAAATGATCTCATACAGTAGACATAGGGTTTGCTGGAAATACTTTAAAATATGAATTCCTCTACACTGAAAAAAATATCTGTGGCCCTTCCAACATAAAAGATGTCTTGGCAAATATCGAATGCTAGATACTTTATTCTTTACACTACATCATATTGTGGAGGTGAACCCATTTAAATGAACTTCTTCATTAATTTTATCTCAAATCTGTAAATGTTTGAACTGCCATCATTATTCGTTGGTCGTAAATGTTGCAATAAGAGCGTTTCGCTAGTCATGAAGTTTCCCTTAGAGCATTTATCATTGATCAATCGATTAAAAGGAATATTTATGGCCTTTTCCCGTCAGAGATAAACTTGACTTTTGATTTCGTGATAAGACAACATGGAAAACAGCTGTCACGTGTTTTGTATTAAACGAGAATGACGTCATAGTTCAAGTAGTCCATCAAAGGGGCGGGTATACGTGTTTTTTTTATAAAGAAAAGTGTGAGGGGGGGGGGGCAATTCAGAAAGATCTAAACAAGCAAAACAACTACCCCCCCCCAACAAAAAAAACAAACAAACAAAAAAAATCAAGTTTCTAGGTGATGATGATTTAACACAAAAAACCCATGGTTGAGGGTAAAAAAAAAACATAATAAAAAAAAAATCAAATACATAATGGGGTTAATTAGGTTATCAAAATGTTGGTTGCCTTTGAACGAAAAAGGGGGGGGGGGGGGATTGAAGGTATGCCCCATATGCTTACAAAAGAGACCACGGATCGTTTGTGCTCCCTAAATCCTCCAACGATCGTTTCAACAAAATGAACCAAGAAACCATTTGCATGTCTAACATCGTTCCCCTATAATAAACTATTATACTAATATATTGATATTGATTATGAATTATCTTATATATTTCTAAGTGACTGATAAATATGAAACACGCACTTTAAATAGTGTTTTCATTTAATCTTTGAAAACGACCTTGAAGTAGTGAAATTCATAGTTGATTAGTGTCTTCATAAAATGAAAATAGTTGGTTTATAAATCGCAATTCCCAATGTAAATGTAACATTTTAATATAAATAAGCAAGATATTATGTTTTTACAATTCTATAGATATCAGACAGGGCCCGTCTTGACAATGTTAAAATGAAGATGTAATATTGTGCAGTTATATTTTACTCTCTCTCACTCTCTCTCTCTCTCTCTCTCTCTCTCGCTCTCTCTCTCTCTCTCTCTCTCTCTGTCTCCGTCTCCACCCCCATTCTCTCTTCTCTGAGTCTCTCTAACTACTTATATCTGTCTCTCAGAGAGATTCCGTTCTAATTCCCTAAAACCTCGTGAAAATTGAAGCAAATTGGATGGAGACACTTTATTCTTCATGCAAAATGCTGTTAAATCCGAAGATAAACAATCATAATGTTGGTGTATTTGGTGTACACTCGTAGGTGGCAAAAAAGTACTGCATCAATTTGATCCATCCTAAACATAATCCCATTTGGAAGTCACCGTTTACGGTGTTGAAAAAAGGTCGTTTTACTTTGCAAAGAATGACCGAAAAGGTTGATGAGTGGATCAGCATTATATAGATGTAGCCTAGTAGTGATGGAGATAAATACTTTCTAAACTCAGCTGATCGAGTTCAATTCAATCATCAAAATAGACAGACAGAAAAAGAGGTGCCACTTTGCTTTGAAATGTGACAGCCTTAAATGAGTACAAGTCAAATACAGCAAAATAATTATGTGCCCTGGTTCAGAGTCGTAATGTATCAAGACGAAAATCACTATTTTGAGAGTGAGAGATACAGTTAGAGGGAAATGGGGAAGGAACATGGATAGAGAGAGAGAGATAGTTTACTTACACAATTGTCCCATCTTCGGTCAAATAACTAGTGCGGTAGAATCCTGACAGTCCAGCATTCAGCTGACCGAGATAATCGATTTCGATGTCATATACCCCATCGACGACGAGTTCGTCATTGAGCTCAATGTGGAGGAATTCGTACTCTTTTTCCTCCAAATCACTCTCATACATATCGACGGTATCGCCCACCATGAAGACCTTGATGGTATGGATGGTGATATCCACAGCATGCAGAGTGATGCGATTGGTAGCGTTGTTGCATCGGACGCGGATAGTGACGATTCCGTCAAAAGTGAATTTTGCTTTTCCTGAAGGCACGTCGTCGTCGTAGATGTAGGGTTTGAGGAACAGCTCGTACGACTCTGGCATCACGGCAGTTGTTAGTCGACCAGGCCATGGTCCAGACGGGCTAGCTGTTGATGTAGTAGACTCGCTGCCCTCTGTCGTAGCTCTAGGGGTTGTTTTTACATTCTGAGGATCGGAGGAAGGAACGAAGGCTGTTGGTGTAGTAGACTTGGTGGTGGTGGTGGGTATTTCGGGATCTGTCACCTCGCTGCCCTCTGTCGTAGCTCTAGGGGTTGTTTTTCCCTTTTGAGGATCGGAGGTAGGAACGCCGATGATGTCATCCTGCCCACAGCTTCTGTCGGGAATGTAGAAACAGAGGAGACCGACCCCGATGACTAGGGCGGCTACCAGGGCACCAATCATGATGACCTGATTCAACGAAAGATTAATCTTGTCATCTTCTTCGTCTTCCTGGATCCGGAACGTATGTTTCTCTTTGAAACCCGGCATTTTGACCGATCCTCAATCCTCAACACTTCATCAACAAACTAGGAGTACGAAATGGATGGAAGAAGGGAATTCGACCCTTTCTTATATCCCGATAACTTGCATTTACAATACAAGGAGTCGATCAGAACAAATATTTGATGTTTCCTATTTTGCGGAGACGCCCACCTTATGTAGACAGAGTCGTTCATCGTGAGTAAAAATAGAAAAAAGAAAGAAATCCATATTCGAATCTGAATCTGAATATCTTTACAATCAGTACAATAGGATTATTTAGTTAAAGATCCTCAGTTTTAACCAATGTAGCCTATTACAATCTATTCAATAATGACATAGGCATATTAATCAATAAAACATATCCATGAATAGCTAAATAGTTGTAATTTTCATGGTTCTTGAAATGAAATTAATGGACAATCCTGGGTCTGGTTTGGTTGAATGATTATATTATTGATACCCTTTCATCCAAAATTTGCTTAAAGGCGGTCTAGACATCTGTTTAATGGCCAGTGTAATCAATTAGTTTGCAGACACACCAAACCCGTGTCAGTCGCTATGTGTAACAGTGTCTGCACTGTGAGACTATACTGACAGCACACTGTACAGGCTCTGTACTTTAGCTGCTCTTGATACAGAAACAGGCTGATTGAGCTAGACTCTGCTCAATGCTTTATGTGTTGTGATAAAGTGTCAAATTAGAGTCTGTGCATGCAAAATAGTCATCAAGCATCCATGATCACATTTTGGTGAACAGCCTATCGAATTATAGACGACATTATCCATCGTCATACAATTTTAATATATTTCAGCTATTCCACTTGCTTTTTTTTTTTTTTTTTTTTTTTTTTTAGATATTTGGGCTTGAATATTGGTTTCCCTTCTTTTGACTCAATCTGTCCATTAAAGTTTGGACACGGTGATAGATTTTCAACGTTATAAAATTGTTATTTACTAAGATTTGTTCTTTTCTTTTACGAGTATGCACTTTGGAATATGCTGTAAAAAAAGTACGTGCATGCAGTGGGGTAGATAATACCTTATTACCTATCGTTCGTTCGTGAATGAATAGAATATCACTCCCCCCCCCCCCCCGAACAATAGGACCTACGCCACTGCGCCGGTGTATGACTATGACGAGACAATGAAAACGGTCTACAACTGTTCGTGCCGATAACATCAACCTATATACGAAGACAGGACCTTTGGCATGAAAAACCGTTCTGTCTATAGAAGGAAAATTGTAAAAATAAATAAACAGAATAATGTTGCTGAACAAGCTCAACATACCGTAGGCTTTAAAACGTGATAGATTACGGTATTTTGTGTCGTATTAGGCACACTATTAATATTTTCCATTAAATATATTTAATTGTGAAAGGATTCTATCCGATACCGGGTACTTGGGGGCGGGGGGTAATCCCTTTGGCAGCTCATGGTGGGTTCCCACTGCCGATCAAACCAACCCGACTAAGCCCGATCAAGCTATTTTGGCCTGGTCGGGCTCGGTCGGCAATGGCGATCGGGGTCGGTCTACCCTCATCGGTATCGGTCTGGCTTTCTACACAACTTTTGGCATGTCAAAAAATATCGTGTAGGGGTCGAGAAGGCAAGCGATCGTACAGCGATCGTGTATTGGTCGAGTGGGAGTCGAGCTGCTCGGGAATCGATCGTATGGAGGTCTAGTTTGGTCGAGGTGGATTTTTTCCGCCGATCACTACTCATCTCGATTTATACACAACAACACGATTGGTTTCTGATCAACTCGATCAACAACTCAACCGCTTCACGAACGATACATGTCTGCCCTTAAGCCCTCATCACACCAAACTAGTTCTCACTACGTTCTGGAACCGTCCTAGAAAATCGTAAAACGGGTTGTGGTCGGGGCAGAAAAAATGTCTATAATACGATCCTAGTTCATTGGTAAACAGTCCTCAATACGTCCATCTCGTTTGTACCCCGTCCACAGCCAGTTCATATTAAGTTCAGTTCGGGTAGATTAGGCAGTCCAAGCCAATCCGTAGTCAGTTTAAACCCATTATTAACTAGTTTTACCTCGTTCCCAATACGTCCAAACCCATTCTAACTAGTTCGTCACTTGTTCTAACTAGTTTTTAACCCGACCACCCCGTTCAGAGGCAGTTCAACTCTTCCTCATCTCGTTCCGAGTGCGTTCGAACGCGCTCCTAGAGCGTGTGAAATCCCGTCTCGACTCGGGAGTTATAAAAACCCAGCGCGTTCTCGCCATTCCTCATTCCCGTTCAACTTTAGGCTTTAGGCTTTGCAGATCAAGACCTTCAAGTCGAGCACTTATCACACCAAACTAGTTCTCACTACCATCTGGAAAATGTTGCCGAACGGGCTCGAACTGTGTGTGAACGAAGTGAACGTATCAGCAACTATTTACGATCTTTTTAAGGACTTCATGGACGGGCTCGGACTGGCTTGGACGGGAAGGGTGGTCTAGAACTTTGAGCCTGTTCAAAATTCTCCCCGTCCTGCAATTGGACGGAGTGACAACGTACTTAAAACGAGATGGGCGTACTACGAACGGAATTGTACTTCGATCCTACTATGAACGTGTTACCACGTGATTTGGTCGAGCTAACAGTTGCTATTACGTTCAACTCCGTTCGCACACAGTTTGAGCCCGTTTGGCAACATTTTCGAGAACCTAGTGAGAACTAGTTGGTGTGATGGGGGCTTAAACAGTTACTCGACCGAACTCGCTCACTTCTCGACTGCTTCTCGATCACATCCCGAGCACTTCTCGAACGCACTCGATCTTTCCGATCGCAACTCAACCAAGGACACAATTACGTGCTGATATAATCATATTTTCTTCGTACCGATATATTGATACTAATTAAGTTAATCGCATCTGGAAATGGTAGTAGCATATGACTGCGCACGCAGGCGCGGATCCAGGATTTCTTAGGGGAGAGGGGCCCAAATTTGAAATTATGCGAGCCAAATATTGGTGCGTAATGGTGACACCGGGGTGGGGGGCTGACAAAAAAATCCCCATCACCCCACTCTTACATGCAGGCCCATGGAGCCCCCATAAGCTCAGGGGTTTCATACATTAAATTACCGTCAGATGAGCATATTTTTATACCTTATTTGTGACACTGGCAAGTCACGAATCGACGTGGGGTCCGGGGGGCGAAGCCTCCGGAAGCTCAGGGGTTTTGGGCAATACATTACGGTCAGATGAGCAAATTTTGATACCTTATTTGTGACACTGGCAGTACACAAATTGGTTTTGGGGCCAGGGGGCGGAGCCCCCCGGAGCTCATGGGTTTAAGGCATTAAGAACATCCAGGTGCCTGACTTTGGGCTCTAGTGAATTCCAGGGGCAGAGCCCCCGGAAGCTTAGGGGTTTTAAGGCATTTAATCACGCTCAGATGAGCATATTTTGATACCTTATTTTTGGCACTGGTAGGTTTCTAATTGGTGTAAGGTCCAGGGGTGGAGCCCCCAGGAGCTCAGGGGATTTAGGTATTAAAATACCCTCAGATGAACATCCAGGTGTCTAACTTAGGGCCCTTGGTGAATTCCAGGGGCAGAGCCCCCGAAAGCTCAGGGGTTTTAAGGCATTTAATCACGGTCAGATGAGCCATTTTTTTAAATATAATTTTTGTTGGGGGCCCCCGGAAATTGAAATATTACATCGTCAGATATTTCGTTCAGTGGCTTGGGGGGGGGGGGGGGGCGGGGAGGAACACTTTTTTGTTGCTTTCATAAGCACACACACACACACAAAAAAAATCTTCCCCCTATTTTCCCCTTCTTTTTTCTATTGCCAGGCCCCCCCCCCCCCCATCTGGATCAGCCACTGCCCACAACTGTAACTGTTCGATTTCCATCTCTTGCGTGTCTGAGATGAACTGAACGCTGATCAAAATTGAATACTGTACCGATAATGGCGATAATACTTTATGCAACCACTTAATTCACGGGTCATCTTGCATGATCCCTGTTCAAACAGGTCGATCTGCTCGGGTCGAGATTGTGTAGAGATCGTGTGTACGTCTAGTTGGTCTAGTAGGGATCGCGTTGGGATTGTATGTAGATCGGAACGATCGAGAAGAGATTGAAGTTGTGGTCGACTATACGTCGTGCAGTGGTCGTGAATGGTCGAATGTGGGTCGTCAATGGTCGATTAGCGGTCGGGAAGAGCTTGTGTTTAGGCATGTGGTCTGGATTGGTCAGGGAAAATGGGTGACCGGGCTTGATTGGGCTTGGTCGGGTTGGTTTGATCGGCAGTGGAAACCCACCATCACTCAGGAAACTATACTGGGATGGCAGGTGAAGCGAGTAACTACAAGAAATGTCATGACTTGCAGGAATGGTGTGTGGACAAAGCACTAGTTAATTAACAGCAAAATATGCTAAGTCCAGTGCAAGTAAAAACCAAGCTATAGTAAGCTTATATGATGTGGGAACCAACAGGGGGCTGCATCATTCTGATGGAGGGTAGAGCAGCCTCCTTGAAGTTGGTTATTCCTGTTGCATTGACCGCTGAGCCTGGCAGATGATTCCAGATCCTTATTGCTCTTGGGTAGTATGAGAACTTAAAGGAGTCAATAGTTGCAACTGGAATTACATACTTCAGGTTGTGGTCGTGTCTTCCGAAGTTTGTAGCAGGGATGGCAATAGTTGGTGCAGGTATGGAGACAAGACGGTGGTGGATCTTGTAGAGAAGGGTGCATTGGTCGAGGATTCGACGTGTGTGAAGCGTGTCCCACCCTAGTCCTGCCACAAGAGCCGATGGTGATGTGGTGTATCTGTAGTCACGGTACACAAAGCGAGCCGCTGTTCTTTGTACTTGCTCTAGCATTTTTGTGACAGTGACGCTGTGTGGGTTCCAAGCCTCATAGGCATACTCCAATAATTGGGGGCGTACTAAGGCTGTGTAGGCCCTGGACTTTACATCCCTGGTACAGGGTGAGAGAGTCCTGCGAAGAAGACCTAGAGTACGGCTTGCTTTATGCCGGATGGTTTGGTAGTGCTTGTTCCAACGAAGATCAGCAGAAACCGTTACTCCAAGGTACTGGTACTCTTCGACTCTCGGGATCAGTCCATT